ATCTAGCAACCCCCATTGCCCTCCCACGCTTGCGCCGTCTCTTCTCTGAATAAAGGAGCTTTTTAAAGTTGCGGTTTCTCATATTAAGAGACCCTCTTTATCAAGACCAAGTTTTTCCCCTCCCCGGACCACCCAGTTGAGACCTTAAGATATTGGAGGCGGCTGTGCCTGGCCTGGCTCCACCAATTTCCCCAGCCCAACAATAAAAGTAGGTGTTCTTGGTTGATGTTTTGCATCGGGGGGGGGGGGGGGTGCAAGGTCATATTTGAAGCTTTTTAAGAATGCGTTCTGGATTGAATGGATGTAGGCCAGTAGCAGCAAATGCAGCTTCAATATTTGAAGATGTAACTGCCTCCTTCCACGCAGTGTCAAAAAGCTGCCAAAAAGACCTCTTTGTGGTGCGTATGAATCCCATTCCAGTTCTCATTTGTTCATTCAGTTGTTTGGAATATGATTTACCCAATGGTCCAAATATCCCAACATCTAGCGGCTGTAATCAGTGTGTAGAATGGGGAGGAAAGACAGCAAGTAGAATTCGATTCCAATCTGCGTAATTGATGAATGCCATATTAACATGGGATGAGTGGCCATCCAATATAAGAAGTCTATATCTGCGGCCTGCCTTCTTTTTTGTAAGAGGTTCAAAGATCTTCTTTAACCACGTTAACCCATATTCATCATTGCTCCACCCATTTTCTGAAGCAGCGAAGTAGGCCTGATCCTTTTCACTATCAAAATCTTCGAGCCAAGTATCTTGCATATCTCTTGATTCCTCTTGATATATGGGAGCAGGTGGGAGTGAAGTTCCATCTGCGCAAATTGAGGCAAGTAGTGTTATGAATTCTCGACTGCCATCCTGGCTGGCACCTATCATACGGCCCGATTTTAGCGAATTAATCGATACAATACGTTTGAGGGTGTGAATGAATCCTAATAGGAATCCTTTCTCATCAAAGTTGTAGATATTCGCAGGTTCAAGGTTGTATTTCGTGATTTTTTTGGCCTGCAGCTGAAAAATTAAGATAAATTAGCAAGATGAGAATTAAAAAAGCAGTATAAGAAAGAAATCTATTATAAGATCAAAATAATGCTTGAAGTATGCAGAATTGTCTGCAATCTTGCATTTTTGGTCAATATTTCGCAGGTAGAGCAACTTGATCACATCCTTGTGGCGCTCGCAGAACTGAGCCACCCAGTTGACTTCAATAGGTGCTTTTAGAATCTCAACAAGATTATGAAGGATTTGGGGCGTACAAGGGAAACTGCGATCTGCCAATTGATTGATATGAAAAAGGAGCTGTTTTTCTTGCGAATCAGTGAGAGCTTTGCAGTGGATAGAGCTTGCTTCCTATCTTAACATTTGAACGCCTCTATAACGCCTTGACAACGTATATCGGCTGATTCCATATTTTTTAGCGGTCTCAGTGTAATTAGGCGTTAATTGCGCGTTCAAATCATCAATCGCGGCTTGTATAACTGCTTCGTGGTGCATGTTGTGGGTGGTTAAAGATGAATGAAAAATGAAGATTTGAGCGGGCGTTGGGTGTAAACGGGCGTTGGGTGGTTGATTACGTTATCTGCCATCAGAGTAAGAGACTAAGCGTTATCCCGAGGTGCTGTTTTATCATTTTAAACAGGTAAGTGTTTTGAAGAAATGTATTTTCTCTAGGACGACTTGGATGTTCATCTGATACCATGAAGCGGCAGAACACACAACAATCGTGGGGACAACTTGTGGTCGCGAGTAAACCAAGAAAGTAAGAGAACTTTCCCACCTTCATGACTTGAGGATGCAAGGTCTCAGGTTTGCAAAATGAGTGATTAATTTTGCCACAAGCAACAATCTGCTGGGTTTCTCAAAGAAATACACTGGGCACGGCTGATTTATCGGTAACTACCGTATTACGCTGTCGCTCATATAATATGATAGGCGAACTATGGACATACGATCCATCTAGTGTTGTTCTTTTAGTATAGTTTACTGTAATGTTGGGGTACTTATCTGTATACTCCACCCAGAGCAACAATACTGATTGCTGGTAAATCTCGTTCCAATTCAAGGAATATATGTACATGTATCCTACATTCCAACCCGAACGCCATGTAATTGAATCAAATCTGGATTCTCAGATTCATGCAACATTGCTCAGATTCCGGCAGGGTTCCTGCTGTAGTCTGTGAGCCACTCACCCTCTAGGGCTTCTATACTTTGAGTTAATATCCGTATTATGATAGAGAAGCAAGGGGAATTTTTTACCGATGACATCGTTAAAATTTTCTAGGCGATCGATGACTGTACTCTCACGGGGCATTGTCTGGTATCTCTGCGGCAGGTTAAGTTTATGTCTTCTAAAAGTTCCAGGGCAGCCGGAGAGAGTACCTCGAGGTAGGGGTTTGGAGCCAAGGTAACCTATTATCGTGAGCACACTTAAGCAAAGCTTTACGCGCTTCTCAGGTCGAATGAATATCTTACCCAGCTATGTCTGTGTTCGAGTCCAGAAAAAGGAATCTCTTCATCCGGGGCGGGAGGAAGCTGCTTGTGAAATTAAATTAACAACCCGTCGACGATAACGACTGGACTGCAAAGAAAAAAAAAAAAAAGAAACGTCGATGGAGAACTCTATACTTACTTCGCTTTGTTCCGACGTAGAAGCAGCATTAGTTTTTCCTTTTAGAAGGACTGACTTTTGGGAACAGGAATGACGTTAGTACGCTGTTTACAGCCTTCGCCTTAAGGTGTAGATCGTCGAGCTTACATTCTCACATTCCTTCTGGATGCGCTTTGTCTCTCGTAGCCAGTTGAGATGAAGAGCCACTCCTCCGATTGGCATCAACCGCACAGTAGCATTGCGCGCGGTATCGGGCAATCGTACGCCACTTCCAGGACTCCCCTTGAGAAGGAACTGTTCCCAAGGAAGCAGATTTGGCTTGAACGAGGGACGGTTGAGAGATTGCACGAGAAGATCCTCCTCCCTTGCAAGAAGGTTGGCACGCCTAGCGAAACCCTCCATAATCTTCGCGTTATTCTTCGCCCTGAATGCTTCGATCTGCTTGTCCCTTGCCAAATTTACGAGAATCCAGAAACGGTAGCGGGCCTCATCAGACGGGAAGAGAGATGGGTGGGCCGATAGCCGACGAAACTCGATCATGACAGCCTCGAACATTTTGTTGGCGCTGCTGCCCTCGATATGGATGGTGTCCTCCTTGATGCAGTTGATAAAAGCGGTGGCTACTTTGCTAAGATAATCAAAGTCACTTTTACGGCTGGCTTCGCCATTGGCTGATCATGAAATAAATTAGCGAAAAATAAGTGTCAGTTATCATCTTTCATGATTGAAAATCTCACCATTGAGGAGACCCGCTTCATGGCTTTCCCATAGCAGGGAGGGACCAGACGACATCGCCATTGGATTCAGCTAGTAGTGAGTAGCTCCTAGCCAGCAGCAATGGGAAACGATTCTGAAGGTTTGCTTGAGTATTAGGGGTACCTTGGCGGTTGTTCAAGAGAGGTGCCTATCTGAGAAGGTAGTTGACTCGTCCCTCCAGCTTGAGCTGATCTGCCTCGGAGATTAAGTAGTCCGGATAGTGTAGACAGCGTTGTTTGTTTGTTACGACCCAAACCCCTTCCTCCCTATCAACGCCCCCAGGAAACTGGGGTAAACACCGAGACTGCCCAGGATGCCTGTAGCAACTAAACCTCAATAACAAACATCAACAAAATTCCATCCCTCCAAAACCCCTCGCAAACTCCGCAAATATCTGTCGTTGCCCAGCTTCCAAAACATAACACCCCGTTGCCATCGCAAGTGTAAATCCTCCGCCATCCTGCCACCCTTCACCACCTCCAACATTTTTGTACCGGAGCTGGCTGGGCGTTCACCCATTCACACAATATGTACCCAGCCCCAATATCATTCACCCAACAAAATGTAACAGCTATCACACAACACATAACACAGAGCCGTGTGACACAAATGGGTGGGCTTGAAGGGACGGTAGCTGGGAAAGGATGGTGGAAATTGAATAACACAAAGCCTGGACCTGGAGTGCATGGTCTGAAATATAACGGGGAGCGGAGAAAACAATGAAAAGGGGAGGGGGTTGGGGAGAGCTTTGTAAGTTCTTTGTTTGAAATTCACCACGAGTCAGGAGGGGGCCAAGGGGGTTTTAGGAGGCTTGTAGGGGCGGGAAGGGCTGGCAGGTTCGGTTTGTGGTACTTTACAGCTGCAGCATTTCAGCCAAACACATGGTTGTTGTGGGGGTATCGGGGGAATTTACTCTAAAGAAAAATGATTTTAATAGTTAAAAGAGAAAACAAATGGGGGGTTTAGATATTTCTTTTTGCAAAAGGGGGTAAAACAAGAAGAAGGGTTGATACGGGCGAGAATCTTATATTGAAATTTCGCCCATCAAAAGCCGCTGAGCGGCATTTTTAAGAAAGCCAAGAGGGAAAGGAAAAAGAAAGGGAAGAAATGAAAATAAATGCATAATTAAGTATTACAGATATGTACAATCGCAGTATTTATGGATTTTGAAAGAATTTTCCTGAACATGAAACTCGCTGGGGGGGGGGGTTGTTAAGGCTTTTTGGGATGGCGAATCTGCATGAATATATCCTTCATCGTAGATAACCTTACCGCTGCAAGAAGGAAATAAAAAATAAAAGATTATTGGTGGCTTCCACCAAAAGAAGTACATGGATATGGGGTATTGGTCAAGAGGATGGAACGGGAGGAGGCGCTGCCGTTTTCGTTCCTGTGTTCCCCGGGGGAGGCAAAAATAGGGGTAGATATGTCTGACGATGACTTATTAGCAAAGATCTTGGCACACCTGCCAGATTCCGGAGAATAGACAAAATCGATGTTGTCGATTTTGAAATACAAGAGGGAGAAAATCTACAGGAAGATAGACGTACGACAAAGACAGCCACGACTATATCGAAATTGTACACGCATTAGCTGTGAATGGGCAAGGATGAAAATTCATTAAGTAGTGTAGGGTTCGAGATGTTGTGCTCACAAGACATAATCACAGCCATATATCCCGGCGTTGAGGCCTTCTTCCTCTGCTCGGGGCTCTCTGCCATCCAGCTCTGGAGAGAGAAGGTAACGGAAGCCCTGTTTTAGACGGACAGGAGTTGGATAGTCAGTTCGAGATATTCCCGACAATATTTTACCGAAGGTATCAATATGACGAGTTAGGATTAACGCATACCAAGCAATCATCCTATGGTTGCCGTTTTTCATTAGCGGATGGTCCCCATAGATGTAGGAGGGGATGTATACTTATTCTTCGTAAACATCTAGTAGGACGATTAGCCAGCATGTTCAAGAGTTCGGAATAAAAGAAATAAGAGATCAGGATCAGAATCAGGGGATCAGGGGGAAAGGAAATTAAAACATACAGCAGCCATGGGCATCGTGCTAGACACCGTGCCTATATATAGCTTAGCATGGCAAGAAGGAAGAAGGGGAAATGTTCTCTCTGCTGGACTGGCGCGACATACTGTTCATGTCCGCATCCTGCCGTTTCTCAGGCGGCTCGACATATGGAACAACTAGCTGTGCGGTTAGTATTCATGCATATACCAATTGAACCATCGAAGCAGTTATCCCCAGCATGGGGCCGCTTCGAGGGTTCCCCGCGAAAGTTCCATACCTAGATCTGGCCTCCGCATGTCCTTCTTGGTGGCCATCTTTGCGGCCGGGTGGTGTGTATGGTTCTAATGGAGATTCCCAAATTGGTTTGCGGTGCGTATCTATTATTGTTAGTGCCGTGGAATAATGGCTACTGGCATCACGGCGAGAGAAGCTGGCGGTTTGTATTCGACATTGGTCGTTCAACTCTTTTCATATAACGACACCGACGTTCGAAGTGGTAGGCGGGGCTAGGCCGGAAAAGGGAAAGTGTGGTATTTCACCCAGTCTCTAAAGATCTCCGGGTCGGTGACCTCCGAATTGGCATCAGATGTTGATATCGAAATGCGAGAAGCAGCGGAAGGTGTTAATATACAGTACAAGCACACAGTAATTCGATATCGCATGGAAACGAGAATGCTATTTCACACTCTAACCAAGAGAACAATACATAACAAAAGAAAACTTTATTTACATGACAGGAGTGAGAGGTGTGCTGGAAACACGACACAACTTCCGACAGGAGGATTGTATTGATTGCATATTCCAACCACGGTGCAAAAATCGAGGACGACCTCCACGATGACGATGATGGTTTGTATTAAATACATTGGTTCCCGTTCTCTTCTCCATCCTGCCTTTTTGTACTGATGCAGAATCCCGCACGGGATTGAGGCAGAAAACATTCAAGTAGTCTTGTTCGGGTTGTGGTAGTTTACCTTAGGGTTCCAGCTGGTGAAATAGTTTTGTCAGCAAAACATTTTTCTTCTTATCAAGGAGATAATGTGTCTACAATGGCAGGGACTGCCAACTCAAACTCAAGCAAACTTCGCCTCCCCCACAGAGCCGTATCAAACCCCGGGGAAGGGGGGAATTAGAAGAAAACACAGGGTAATTCGCGGAGAAGACTTACAACAGGGTCTATAATTTTGGTACAATACGTTAGTTGATCGATCGATTTCCATATAAAGAACCAAAGTTGATATAAGTAAAACAGAAGTGGAGGACATACCTTATCACCATCTCCCCAAGGATAGTTCTTGGTGCGGACATTCTGGTAGGGATACTCCACCCGCTCTTCCAAGGGCGGCATATGGTCCCAGTGCTCCCAATGCTCATTCCACAAATTCCACGCATTGATGCTCGCAAGGATGACGACGGGAATCACTCCGCTAGATTTCGCATGACAATTAATAAATCCGTGCTTTAGACAATCTCTCCCCCATTTCCTTATCCACACTGAAACCTGAACAGAATGTCCCGGGATTGGAAAGGGTTGGACAAGACATTGGAGGATTAGAAGGGATTGGTCATACTAGATAGAAAGTTTCCGCCACAAATCTGCGAAAGGAGCCATGGTCAGAATTGGGGGGTTTCCTCATATCAATGAGCCGCTGTGTTCGTTGCAAGCGGGGAGAAAACTTACCACTGGTAGCGGCAGCATGGGCCTTCACGGCAGCTCTCTCACGGTTAAAGGCATTGTCAGGCAGGACGGGGCCGCTTTGCTCGGTGCTGGTGAAGCGGCGTTGGAGCAGGCCGGAGCGGACGGGGTTCGACCGGACGGCGGGGACGCTAACTCGCTGGGCGAGGCGGAAGGCGGAGGGGCGAGTGAGCATTGTTTCAGGTCAGTCACTTGTGCGGGAGGGTAATTGATGGTTGTTGCGCGTGTGTGTTTGGGAGTTTGGAGATGGAATTGTCATTCGCACTGATTCACTTCCGGTTGGAACCACCTGGTCACGGGTTCTGCTGGGGAATATAGAGATCATGTGATCACAACTCCACTCGAAGAACTACGAGGATTGATGCCTCTCATACTTTTATTCAGAAAACCCCGTCGCGGTCATTGAAGATGGAATGTATATGGTGATTCTTTATCTTATTTGTGATAGGCTGGATATACTATTCGATGGTGCTTGTATGCTTTTGAAAACGACCATCTACCAGCGCTCCTTCAAAAGGAGGCGTCACAGATGGTCCGGTTAACAACTTGGAATGGTATGGCTTATTTGCACTCCACATCCTTCGTAGGATAGAAAATAGCTAACATACCATGATGGCAGTTAATGGGATACGGTCAGTGCTATGATTTTAACATATAGCAGACTTTGTTACAGAAAGAGTAATGAGATGTCTTTAGCAACCCGTTCGCGTATCACCCATGGAGGGAGAAGCGGTCGTTCGAAGTACGTAATTCATATTATACATTCAGTTTTGAATCGTAAAGTTTTGTATATGAATATATTTCTTATACTCCATGCATAGGCGATGTTTGACGCCCTCGAAGCAGACATAGTCATCTTTCAGGAAGCAAAGGTCCAAAAGAAGGATTTGCAAGATGACATGGTCCTTGTCAATGGCTGGGATTGTTTCTTTAGCCTCCCAAAGCAGAAAAAAGGCTCGTTGTATTCTGTCTACCATGCACTTCTAATATAAAACAGGTATATATATGTTCTATATGTATTAACTCGTGAATAGGGTATTCTGGAGTTGTCATATATACACGGAACTCTAAATGTTGCCCCATAAGGGCCGAAGAGGGAATCACGGGTATCCTTTGCCCACCAGGGTCTTCGTCTACTAGCCCTTTTCCTGCTCTTACGTCTTTTCGTGACATGCCGGAAGAGCAGCAGATTGGTGGCTATCCCACTCCTGAACAGCTGGCACTTTCAAATATAGATGCAGCCACGCTGGACTCTGAAGGACGGTGTGTGATATTAGAGTTTCCAGCTTTCGTTTTACTTGGTGTCTATTGCCCTGCGAACAGAGACGAGATGCGAGATGGGTTTCGAAAAGCCTTTGTAAATGCGGTCGATGCTCGTGTTCGGAACCTAGTTGGCATGGGGAAGCGAGTGATTTTGACGGGAGACTTAAATATATCCGGCTCTGAGATCGACTCAGCACGTGCCCTTGAAGAAATAAGGAAAGGTACGACGACAAATTCAGAATTTGTATCAGCGCCCGTTCGTCGTATCTTTAATCAGCTTGTCAGTGGTGGGAAAGTCATTGGAGATAGAGACCAGGGAAGGGAAACACCCGTCCTGGTGGATTTGTGTAGAGAGTACCACCCTGATCGACGAGGTATGTATACTTGCTGGGAGCAGAGGGTCAATGCTAGACCTGGAAATTATGGGTCGCGAATCGATTATGTCCTCTGCAGTCTAATTATGCGAGACTGGTTTTGTGCGTCGAATATTCAGGAGGGTCTAATGGTATTTTGTTCTCCTGTCATTGTCCACATATACGCAAGGCTAACAGAATAATTATAGGGCTCTGACCACTGTCCGGTTTATGCTGATATCAAGGACAAGGTGTCGCTCGACGACATGGAAGTTCACATCCTCGATGTTTTGAACCCAGATGGTATGTTTGTAAACGGAGAGCGGAAGAAGGAGTACTCGTCCGCAGACGTCCTGCCACTCTCGGGTAGATTAATTCCTGAATTTTGTCAGCGAAGAAGTATCAGAGATATGTTGTTTCGACAAAGTTCGAAGGGAGCGAGCCAGGGTGACGTAAACTCTGCTGGCGTCACCAACCCTCCGGTACCCCAGAAGGATACCCTCGGAACTAACATTTCTGGGCCAGCTTCACCCAGTACCTCTACCACACCTAAACGGTCTCAACAAGGAGATGATGGTACTACTTCGCGATCTAAACGTTTGAAGCGAAGCCAGTCTTCGGCCATCGCTACCGCGCGGACGAAAGGGCAAAAAAGCTTAAAAGGATTTTTTGGTCTCAAAGGATCCGGTTCTACTGCAGATGATCAAACGAATTCGCCGAAGGTTTCAGATCCGGTGGCAGTTGGAAATGAACAACAAGAAGCAGCGAAAAGCCCTCTAGACATCACCTATTCTTGCCCACCCGGTGACGGTTGTGGACCCGAAGATGATGAAACTCAAGGGCAACAGCAAGAAGCGGCTGAGCCACTGGCAAACGGTGGAGATAGTAATGATGATTGCATCGTGCATGATCCAATCGCCAACAAAGAATCGTGGTCAAGAATCTTTACGAAGAAGCCCGCGCCAAGGTGCTCAGGACATCATGAGCCTTGCATCAGTCTTGTAACGAAAAAGGCAGGGATCAACTGTGGGCGGTCGTTCTGGATCTGTGCTAGACCCCTCGGCCCATCTGGAGTTAAGAAGACAGGCGATCAGTGGCGTTGCGATACTTTTATCTGGTCTAGTGATTGGAATGGACCGAAATGAGGGTTGTACAGCCATGATCTTTGCGGAATGGGGTGGTAGATATTGGCTGGACGATTCCCTTTAGGGAGGGACACCAAGGACTGAACTGGAAGTTCCAGGGAGGGTAATGTAACTTGGGATCTTTGCATAGCAGCTTCATGACTGCCCATCTAGGCTCTGCTAAGGGTTGATAGTCGACTCTAAAACACTATGGATGACAATGTGCTTGCAAATCTGTACATCTATGGACATAGGTTTGCAGAAGCAGTAGGCATACATTGATGTCCATGTCATGTCTTGTTCAACCTGAAGAGCGGGAAATTGTTACCCAAACTGCATGGATGTTGAGGCAGCTACCTCCGAGGGCAGCTGCTGAACATCCAAGGATACATCATACCTGCATATTACGGAGCAGAAGAGAGAGAGAATGTGTGTGTGTGTGTGTGTGTGTGTGCTCGCGGAGGAGGGTAAGAAAGGAGAAAACATGGATTACTGTTGGGAACTGCTCGGCTAACGCTATTTGGGGTTCTGGCTCATGCCTAAAAGAGAACGACACGGAATGGATCTTCAGTCTCGTATGGACCATTGCCGCGCGGCAAACTGGGGCCTGGTTGTACCTATACCATTCATCCATGCATTGGGTTAGCAGGGGAATATTCCGATGGGGAAAAATCCTGTTTCTCTGCGTGATCAATTCCATATCACAACGACCCCAAGAGATAGCAACAGCTGCCTATTGATTTAGTTCATAGAGATTTCATAATTGGTCAGATGATGAGACGGGTCCAACAGGGCTGAATGGATGTCCGGATGTATGTATGTGCCAGTTTTGTTGCCGTTTGCTTAAAATCGCATGCGAACCTGGGGTCAGAGGCCCAAGGCACATCCATACATGGGTCCTACCATCCACTTTGGCCATGTATCCATTATTCGCTGAACATAGTATCTTAACCGACCGTGAAAGAAGGCAGGTTTCTTCTGTTCCAGACCTTCCACATCGATCGCAGGCAATGTGACGGTTCTTCCAGTCGATGTGATGTATGTCCGCACACATATAATGTATGCATATACCCAGCTACCAAGGTTATGTTTATACAAACATTTAAACATACGCGAGGACCTCAGAAGCCTGGCTGTGGGAGGGCAAAAGATGGATATTTGTAGCAATGAAGGTAACATGGAATAGGCCAAAAGCATTCAGTAACGATGAATATAAGACTTGGAAAGAAGCGTAGAGGTAGCGTCCACTAGCTCTCCGTAGTGAGGAATTGAGCAATCATCCCGCAGCGGTGAGGAGGGAAATTTATAAAGCTCTCGAATGACAAACAGGCATCTTCTGCGAATCGCCGTAGAGGAGGAAGTGAGACGAGGCAGCAGTTTGACGTGAGGTGATTTACGACAGTTAGATCACGTTGAGGAATAGCTGCTAACAACGGATGGGCCCGTAACTTAACTAACGGGCAAGTCATCTATTCTCAGCAGGAGATCGACGACAATCATGAATCGTAGAGGAGCTTCCTTAGTAGGGATAAGGCCAGGAAACGAACATACTGGGAGAGGGGTATCCGTAGTTCTGGGTGTTGGAATAGCTCTCTCGCTGCCAAACCGAGCCTATCAAAGTAATTAGCTTCGGATGACCCGTGGATACCTAGCTTTTCCCGGATGGATTTGGCTTGCCTTTGGCGATAAAAGATTGCATTCGTTTGGTATAACGTAGCGAGTTACTCTCTTCAACCAAGTTTACGTAGCTGATGTAGCTAGCCGGGCGACTCTGTTCGCCTTTATTGGCTGCGGCTGTTTGCTGTTCACCTGACTTCGACGCAATTCCGCCGCAGCTGCCGAAGTTCGCAGCTTAAGCCGACCCTTGAAGGGACGAACAACCGCAAACAACCACCGATATGTATATATGAGTGTCTTACCCACTCCCACCACCTCTGCTCCGAGCTCAAACCCCTTCATGGCTGTTTTTTCTGCTTCCTGGAGATTTAATGGTTGTTTGTTGTTTCTCTTTTCGTGTTTTTGCATTTGCTCTCTAGTTTCTCTGATTCTACTGTCGTATTTGCCTACTGAACTCAGACTATCATCTCTACGTATTTTGCCCTGCGTTGCGACAACGGCCTGAACAGCCCGACGTTCGCCATCACATCGGGATGAGGGCTATGATCCGTAGATAATGCCGTCACGCCGTCCCACGAGTCATCCTGTTTCCCCTAGCCGGGTTTCAGCACCCTCCGGCTCCCCCGCTCCCCTAGCTCCTGCGCCTGCGCCTGCGCCTCCTCCACCCGCTCTTGCAATTGACCCCGACGTTCAGGTGATTTCAGTTATCGACCTTACTGCAGAGTCAGATACTGACAGGGTGAGTGATGATGGATCTGGACCCCCTGCGAAAAGGCCGTGCTTGGATACTCGTGAGAGCTCGACTCCGCTGGTGCCGCTGGACAACAAAAATCAATATCTTGCAATTCACCAGCAGCCGCTAGATCCCCAACACAATACACCCTCCACTGCAAGTGAAGTTCCAGAGTCGATAAATCCCATGGACTTAATGAACCACACTCCGAATGAGCAGTCCCTGCGCCCGCCCTGGTCGTTTCGGAGCGGTATGTCGAGCTCTGCAGCCCGGCGCGCATCGGAGTCTTCTCAGTGGTCACCGTCTACAGGTCTACCCCTGCTGCCTATTCGACCTTGGCAGTATAGTCCGCAGGAACGATCTCCACACGACACTCCAACGGCCGCGGATGCACCGAAGGATGATACGTGGTGTTTGGAGGTGCAGACAACGCCTTATCGCATGTTCAAACCCACCAAGGCGCCTCGGTTCCCTGACAACAGTATGTGCTTTGCCTTCTTCTTGATATCATATTGTATATAAGCCCACCTAATCTTGATTGCTAACGTATAATTTGTACAGAACTTGCGGATTTCTCCCCATGGACAGGGTCACAGGTCGAGGACGTGCTCTCTGAGCACACCATCAAGCATGGCTTCTATGACCGTGTCCAGGTGTCTCCCAATGAAAGTGTTAGCGCAAGGTCCACTCTGTATCCTCAATTCAAACACCGTTCCGGATTGAAAGTCTTGTCATCCGTCTTTGCTGCGAGTCTCGAGCAACGACAGAACCACAATAGAGTCACTGCCCCGTCGACATTTCGGCCGCCGCCCCGGGTCACGTTGACTGACAATAAGCGTGAGACTTGGCTGCGAGATCTGGCAAATGACTCCGTACCGCTACGCAGACTAAGTCGCACTATTCCGCATGGGGTCAGGGGTAAAGTGCTCCTCGAACATTGTCTTGTGAAATCTGTCCATATTTCTCGGGCTCTCTGGGTGGCAAAGTGTGTTGGTGCCAACGAACTACGTGCATTTAGGAGGAAGGGAACATCTGCTACTGTTGCAAGTGGTCTAGAGGCGAAATGGGTGCGAGACTGGACGGTAAACGTGCAGCAGTTTATTGAGGGGGTATTAGGTAGTTTGGTGGATGAAGGTTGGAAAATTAGACTTTGTTATGCGTAATTGCATCCCCAGCTGCTCCCCGTGGCATATCTTCTTGTTTTGGAGTTTGGGATGAGAACTAACTCAACATAGCCTGAGACTTACTGGTCGACTTTTCCTCGAGTATCTTGTTGACCATGACCATTTTATGGAGTGGTTCCACACATCGTCAAGTAAGGCTTCGTTGGCAAGCTTTCCTGTCTGGCTCCTTATGCTTGGGAGCTATTGGGATCATGTTGTCAAGTACCGCAAAAGAGGCAAGCGACTTGCAGAGTGCCTGTTGGAGAAGCTCAGTACAGTGTGTTATTGTTGCCTTGTTGCTCCTTGATGTTGTACTAATTTAACGTTGCAGGCTATCCTTATTAACAAGAACGGACATCTAAATTCTCTCATTCGACGTCTCTCTCGCTTTATCAAAAAAATTGTTCGTCATTGCCCCTCTTCGTTTATTCTTCCTCGATGCTGGGCCAAATACGAAACGACATTATCATCATGTCTAGATATGAACAGCGCAGAGGATAAAAAGGACTTTGCATCTCTCCAGGAGCGGAATGCATCGATATCTCGAGCCAAAGTTGAACCTGCACCAAAGGGCAATTCACCGCTTCAGCACATAATCGAGCTTCTTGACTCATCCAGCGATATTCCCACTCTCGCTACGGATTTGTTGAATTTATCACTTGATCCGAGCACTGTGGCCACTACGGTCTTAGAGTGGGCGTCGACTGCGTTCCGCTATGGCACCTCCCGAACGTACACAGCCGTCCGGCTTTTCCGAAGATGGAGGAGGATAGGAATGGATACTGACTTGTACCTCTTCACGTTCCTCGCGCAAGCTCACCAAAAGTCCGGCGTGCGCCTCGTTGATCTATACCATATCATTTGCGAATTGGTCCGTTCACAGACATTTTCCGTGTCCAAGTACTTGCAGTGGCTCATCGCGCGTGGTGCACTAAGCAGGGTTTCTGAAAATAAGGAGGTATGTGTTTGAATCGCAACGTTAACATCATCATCATCCTTGTTGACTGACTCGATTTCCAGCGTATGCCTGGGGACGTTGGTCTCCTCAGCAATCTTCCATCATGTCGTCTTCCCGGCCATGTTTGGAATCTTCGTAATACTCTGCTTTCAAGGACAGGATTTCAGGTAGATCTGGAGTCTGAGACCATTGAAGTTGTAAAGCAATCAATTCAACGTCGTCTCCCGACAATGTTTCCTGAGGTCCGCACGGATGCGGACGTGCAGATGACAGACGATTTGGATCTTTCTGCCGGAACATGGACAGTGAAGTGTGAGATAGGGCAGTGGCTTCGAGATGTTGTAGCCTATCATGTCAGAGATGGTATGAGGTGAGTTTCCCATGGCGACGGTTCCTCTCTTCTGATGGTGTTTTCTGATAATGTTACAGGACTGCTTGGGATTTCACAAACGATTTCGGAATAGTTTCACTCACTCCCCAGGAATTCTTTGAAGTACGATATGTCCTTGAATCTCTTGATGATATGTCCATGTTTGCCGATGTGTTGAAATGTGCTTCGGAGTCCGACAATGTTACAGTTTTGATATCGGCTGTCGACGCTCTTAACTACCACCTTGACACGTTCAATGCCATCGGTGCTACACCTGACCTCTTCAAGAGCTTGGTAATCTCATATGCCAGAATTAGAACGGCAGATTCACGCATTGACCATTTGATAACGTCTCTTTTAGAGGTCGGAGTCAGAATTCCAACCGAGGCGCCTTCCGTTGCTATGCTCCGCCGAGATCAGATGGAACGGGAAAAACAACTCTCCATGGAGGCTCCGTCTCCGGTATCTGACGACATCGCCGATATAAACACCGCCACGCCCAGTCGCACGTTTAGACTCGCATTGGACCAGCTGCTAGCGTCGGGAAATACTATGGATGAAGTCACGATGACTCGAATCTTCACCACTCTGTCCAAGAGACTTGAATATGGCAGTGTAAACGGAAAGCAATGCACCCATGAGACAGCGCGGTATTTTGTTCGACTCAGGCCCTTTAATACGAAGCTTTTTGACCGCTTGATGATCAGATGGGTCATTACGGTGCTAAAATCGTCGCCTCGACCGAATCTGTCAAGCCTTCTGCCGCCGCTGATAGGTGTTGGTTGCGTTGCATTACAGTCTCTTTATGTCCTTATTAAATATCTGCTGCGCACTGGCGACCTGCGAGAGGGGATCCCGGATTTGACTGAATTCCGACAGAGTCTAATTCAGCTCTTAGATAAGCGGCTGGCCAACGCCAGTGGCGCGCAAGATCTAGTGAGTTAACTGCATTTGAATCGTCATCCCGGTACATGTAGTTGCTAACAGGTTTGCATGGTCAGGTTGCGTACCGGTTCAAAATGGCCCAGCAAGAATACGTGAGACTGTTTCCTTCGCAAGCGCTTAGTCTTTTGCAAGATTTATTGGCAGGGGTTTCGCAGGCCATAGCGGAATCTCCGAAACGTGCAGGCGGTGATCCATTGGGTGACTCGGTTAAACCCCTTCTGAGCGAAATCGCAGTCCGACACCCACATGTTCTCGGCATGGATGGGTCTGATCGCTTGTTGGAGAAGTTTCCTGATTGCATGAAGTTCACTAGCCAAGCACTAAGCATGTTGTTGACAATTCCGGATGGAAGTGGTAAGCGTTAAACTTGTTACTGGACGCGAGTTTTACGAGTTTTGTGATACTAAGTTTGAATTAGTCTTAGACGCCGCGAAAGAGACTATTGCCTCCATCAACGATTTCTCTCGTCCCTTTTGTCTCATGAAGCTACGGTTATTATTTGTGGAAAGTGACGTTGAGAGCAAGAAACGTATTTATGATCTTGTTTATGAAGCCGCGAAATCTGATATACAGCAAGGCCTGTCAGATTGGATTCATGTTGTGAGCACGTTGCACGCAGATGCCGCAATGGAGGTGAGATACTAGACCATAACATCTAGCTTAAGTTATTCATGATGATGATGATGATGCTGACATTTCCCAAAGATTCGCCAACGAGCTGAGGAACAACTGTTAGCTATTACCTTCACATCTCTAATTGCTCCACGTCCAGCTCTCTCATCACCGACTGAGCCCGACGCTATCGCGACCAGTGACGTGTCGCCACTTGTCTATCTCCGCATAGTGGAGGAATTATCGTTCAGCATCCTAGACGCAGGCAACCTTTCACTCGGTCCAGTTTTTGTTGACAAAATGAACATTATGCTTCAAAAAATCACAGCTCTAGAGAACAGCATCTTAAACACTGACTCTAGCCAGGATACTGCCCAAATCAACAACCTACGCGAAGCCCAAGCAACACAAGAAATTTCTATTCGCTTCTGGTTATACATTATGCTCCGTCTCATCGCCATTCACCGCTCGGACCTTGACCCGAGCAAGCTCTCAAAATCCGACATAGTTGACCAAACGCGGCTCCTGATCTCCATCAGCTGCATTGCGTTATCCCAAACCATATCCTCCACGAACGTTCCCTCCGTCCCTCTTAGCCACTCACTGACCAATATCTCCTCACAAGCAACCAATAACCTTCAAACCCAAGCTCTAGACGTCGCCGCAACACTGGTCGACACCATCCCCGACGAAGCACGTCATCAATGCGCTTGTTTCTTTCGGGACCGCTGCCCTCCGTACATCCACCCACAGAACCAACCGCGTCTACTTTTCCTCTTCGGTCCCATCCCCCCAACTGACATCGCTGCGTCTTTTATTCCTCCTAAACAACCAACACAGTCATCCCCTGCGTCAGGAGCTGCTAGCAGCATACCAGCAGCAGCAGCCGGGTCTTCTCCTACAAGTACGCCTGCAGCGGCAAAGGGAGCAGAACCAGCACCAACACCAGAATCCTCACAAACCCTCCCAACCCCTCCCAACAGCAATTACAATGCACCTTCAGTAGCACCATCACACATGACACCAACAACATCAATATCTTCCTTTCAACCTCTCCCAACCCCCCCTAGCAGCGTTTACAATGCAACATTGCATATTCCCTGCAACGATCCGAATTCTTTCGTTGGGGATCTGCGGCTCCAGCAGCAGGGACAGGATGTGGGTCCTTATCCGCTGCGCCCATGGGAGATGCTTGAAGAGTCAGCCCCGGTTATGGGTGTTAACGACACTGCGGTGAATTTGGGGTTGTTTGAGGCGAGGGTGACGAGGGATTGATTGCTGCTGGAATGTGCCATGTTTATGGAAAGTCCGGTTTAGCCATTTATCTGTATTGTATATTTAGGGTGTGGTGTTTTCCTTCTTCTGGCTCTACCTTTGTTTCATCGAACATGCATCTACAACTGTACATATATACACTACGCGCAACATGCGAATTATATTATAATACGAACCATTGAAGGCGGCGGTTGTGGCTCGAACATGTAAGCTATATATGTTTCGGGTCATAAATTTGGAGGACATGTTCTTATGATTCAATAGATTGGAATTTGCTGTTCCTCTTTCCCATTTCATTTCAGAGTTAAAGAATTGTACATCTTGCCATGTAGATATTTCTCTGCTTCTCATCAGTGGCTTGATAATGTTGCCACCTCTTCCTATGCCCGGCCCTTGGAAATTCTCTTATTGCCCGACAGAGCTCAACACACGTGACCGAGCCGTGAAGTCATCATCTCCATCGGTCAAGTTCTAATAAATTATTCAGCGCGGAGTAACATCAGCATGTTTTGATATATAACTATAACCACATAGGGACAGATACATATAGGCTTGGGGATGTTGTTCTAACTCCATTTTCGATACATCTTGACGCCTGACTCTTTTATTTAATTGGTGGTCAAATGATTCCCACCGCAAAATGCCTCGCCCAGCGACCGGGCTTCGTCAAGCGGAGTGCGGAGGAGCTGGCGCGGTTCACGAAGATGGGTAGGTAGAACTAATCAACTAAGGGATATATCTCTGAACCGATTAATACCGCGTCATCCTCTTGCCATTGAAAATGAAATGGGAAACCAGCTCCAAGTGGACTGAGTGCTGACATGGGCAACTTATCTAGCATGGAACCTCGAAACCCTCTCCGTCCCATATAAGCCCTACTACCTCCTCGATTTCACAGACCAAAACACTGTCGCAGCCTGCAAGACCATGGCAGATCGTGCTGTTGGCGGTTACAGCACCGCAAACCTAGATTACGTCCCCGCTGACCCCGCCACGAATACCCCCGCACACGCCCGCTTTCATGGGACCATATCCACCAAGCTGCCACAGAATTGGAAGATTCAGAGGTCGGGTATGTGGAGTCTTCCAATATTATTAGAAATTCCCCATACAGGAGGTTATTAGGTTTAATGACATATATGCGTTGCGACAACAGGCTACGCTGCTTTCCGCAACCAAGACAGGGGCTTCTGGCTATTCGGCCGCCTGTACTGGGACGTGGACCCGTATACCTACCTTGCATTACGGGTCAAGTCCGACGGACGCAGATACAAAGTGAACATCCAGACCGATTCCATCGTTGAATCCGACATCCATCAACACCGTCTCTTTACCCACCACCACCGAACTCCCCGCTTGTCCTCCGCATCATCCTCCTCGCCCGAAGATATAACATCCTATTCCTCTGAACAAGGCGAAGTCGTCCCCGCCGCCCTAGCCGACTTACCCGCCGAAAACCCATCCTACCCATCCAATGCATACTCCCACACAACCGACCCAACCACCAATCCCGACTCCACAGGCTGGGAAACAGTCCTAATCCGCTGGAACGACTTTGTGCGCACAAACCTGGGCTTCGCGGTCGAGCCGCAGACGAGTTTGCTACGGCAGCGCATCAAGTCTATCGGCATTGGATTGACGGATCGTGTTGAGGGGCCGTTTGATTTGCGCATTCATCGGATGTGGGCGACGAATGGGTTGTCGGAGGAGGAAATGGAGGAGGAGAGGAGGGTGTGTGGGTTGAATGCATTGCAGATGACGGGCAAGGAGTGGGCGGCTGCTGGTATTGAGAGGCCGTCTTTGGCGGAGCAGGAGGGGGAGGCGTTGAGTAGGTTGAAGGGGTTGAAGAAGCGGAAAGATGAGGGGGATGCTGGAGGGGAGAAGGATTCCTTTTAGTTTTATGGGTTGGCACAATACAGATAAATAGTTCAAGGCGCGTTGGGAAGGGGTTGGGTGATTGGTCTCGCATTTGTGTATTATTTTGAAATTCGGCATACTATGTGTGCATACATCTAGTTATTTTAGTTACTGCGTCTGAAGCACGAGCATTTTTTGGCGTTCTTAATTATTGAAATGAACTAAGCTTTGAAAGGTATGCAATATGCAAATATGCAACATGAATATCTATTTAACGCTCCAGACTTCCCCCCCATCTTCTAAGCGCAAATGAAGATATTACATTTGATATGAAAAATAGTACACCCGTAACGCCTACATGCTGTTCCATCCGCTCCCCAATTCCACCACCCCTGATGTATTAGAAATCCACCTTCTCCCCCGTAATCCTCTCATACGCTTCCCGATACTTCTCCCCAGTCCTCCTTACCAACTCTTCGTCCATCTTCACCCCTTCCTTCCCCTTTAGCCCGTTCTTGACCAGCCAATCGCGCAAGAACTGCTTATCAAAGCTCTCCTGCGACTTGCCAACCTGATAATTCTCCGCCGCCCAGAACCGCGACGAGTCCGGCGTCAGCACCTCATCAACTAGCACAACTTCATCCGTCGCCGTGTCGAGGCCGAATTCGAACTTGGTATCCGCGATGATGAGGCCGCGTGAGAGTGCGTGGGCGTGTGCGGTTTCGTAGAGTTTTAGGGCTAGTGTGGAGATGATGCGGGCGTATTTGGGGCCTACAATGGTTACGGCTGCGGTTGCTTCGTGTTAGCTATTTGAGAAATGAAAGGGAAAAGGAAAGGGAAAGAGGAGGAAGGAAGATATGTGTGGTATGGTACCCTGATCGGGATGGATATTCTCATCATGCTTCCCCTGCTCCGCCTTAGTGCTTGGTGTATATATGGCACCATCTGGGAAACGCTGACTCTCCTTCAGCCCCTCCGGCATCTTTATGCCGTGCACAGTACCGGATGTCTGGTATTCCTTCCAGGCTGAGCCGGTGATGTAGCCGCGCACTATAGCTTCTATGGGGAAGACTTTCAGCTTGCGTACTTGCATGCTGCGGGTTTGCAGGGTTGGTCGGAGGGATTCGGGGATCTGAGGGGGCAGATCGAGGGTGAGGAAGTGTGTGCGCAAGGTTGGGACGGCAGCGGAGAGGATTTTGAACCAGTGGGTTGTCAGGAGGGTGAGGAGGACGCCTTTATTGGGAATTGGCTGGTTTCAATGGAGGAGGTATATGGGTTAGTTAAAGTAGGGATTTGTATCATTTATTACACACTTTTTTTTTTTTTTTTTTAACTTTTCTTTTCATTTCTCAAGGCAATGGAGGTTTGGGATATACGTTTTCCATGATCACGTCGTAGGCGGAGATGCGGTCTGTAGCTACGAAGAGGAGAGTGTGCGGGTTGACTTCGTATAGATCACGGACTTTACCCCGCGCAACAAGGGGAAGAATACTCTCCAGATTGCTGGTGGTTATGGGTTCAGACATGTCTATGGATGGGGGGTATAGAGGGGTATTTAGCGGACGTGGAGGGCAATTGGGATATATACAAATAAATTGATAGATATAGATATTTCTGTAGAGGAGAGTTTGGCGGTGTTTGGCGGGGGAGCAATTGGATCGGTGGGCGGAGATCGATTAGTCAGGGTTTGGCATCGGAGCTCATTCTGCCGCAATACTGAACGGCATCAACCACTTAGACTGCAACAACTGCAACTACTGGACATCATGATGCGATTTCTGAGGCATGGGATGGACAATTAAACGCCAGATAGTAGTAATGCGAAGACTGTCTTCGGATAAACAGAGCGGAAGATATTTACCCAGATTTGCCCTTTGTCTCTCAGAAAGTTCCGTTTACCGTCTCCGCCGGCATGTCCAAACCCCTGTAATGGCGGATTCCCTATACAAACAACCACCACCCCCTTAATGAATCAATCGTCAAGATGGGACGATATCTCACCCCCTCCAAAATAGCCCTCCTTGCTCTCGTCTCCGTCTACACAGAAGGCGCAGTCCCCAACTCCGCCATTGTCCCTGTCCTCTCGTTTCTCATCTCCCATCTCCTTCCCCTCAGACCCTCAGCTCTCACCACTTCCCAAGACAAAAGACATGCCATACCCATTCAGGACTTTGAAGCAGCCACATTACACCTAGCTTCTTCAATCCCCGGTAGAACTGTCTGGGATCTCTTGCTGAAGAAACTATGGCATCTTAACTGCTCCGATGAGCTCGACGACTTCTTCAGTTGCATATCAGAGATGCTGATGAAGACGCGCGAAGAGCAGATCTATAATCGAGATAATGGCATTGCTCCCAAGACAGGTCGTATGCTGCTCTCCCGCTCCTCGCCGCTGGGTGCCTTTGTTCGACGCGCCCAGCTCGAGTACTCCCGTCTACAATTCCACGATGCCATGGCGCTGTGGAGGGGCTTTATCAAATATCGGCTACCAACGTACCAGCTGTGGGCGAAGAGGAATCCGCTGGATAGCCAGATGGCGGTGGACATTAATTTGGTCGAGCTGGGCTTGGATTTGACGAGTCCGCTGGCCAAGGTTGTGTACGGTGAGTTGGAGGAAGGGAAGGATGTGGAGGTCGGGATGAGTACGAGGGATATTGAGCGGTTGTTGGATTTCCAGGTCGGGGAGATGCAGAGTATGTCCTGCAGATAATTTTATCTGCGCTGGTTTTTGCTGAGATTTGGAGCTCAGGCTTTGCTAACGCTAGTTTCTCGTCAAAAGGCATCGGGTGCAGGATTACAGAAGAGATGAAGTCGCGTCTAGAACAGATGATCGCATCCGGCGTGTCTATGCCAAGCTCGCAACATTATATAAAGTAGGTAGTTTTATTGTTTTTCCACCCCTGAAACCTCCCTTATATCGCCAATTCTGATCCAGGACCCTCAAGATTCCTCGATTCTTGGAGAGCAGGAGATTATTCCTCCTCGTTCGACCATCTACATCGCTACTTTGACTACACAATGCAAAATCGTGACAGAACATTTTATCAGTACGCTCTTCTCAACCTTGCCATCCTCCAAGCCGACTTTGGCTGCCATGGGGAAGCTGTCTCTGCCATGCAAGAGGCCATTTCGATTGCCCGAGAGACCCATGATATGAGCTGCCTCAATTTCTGCATGAGCTGGGTCTACCACTTCGGGAAAGCCTTCCCAGATGAAATGAGAGATGTGCAGAATACGAGGATGCTCGGGAGTGAGAAGGAAACGCTGGCATTTCTCCAAGCAAAGTCTAAAGAGATAGATATGTGGAGTCTGATGGGTACTTCGATGCTCAGTGAAGCTAAGTTGGAGTTACAGCATGTACGATTACTGTTTATTTTACTTTTACGGTGTGAAATACCGACTGGCTTACCTCTAATTTTTCTAACAGGGCGAGAGCGTGGCGTCGGCGTTTGAACACATCGTCAAGGCCTCGTTTCTCATAGTGAATAAGGGAGCGCGCCAGCCAATTGGGCCACAGCTTATGTTACAAGCATCAGTATATGTCAGAATAGGTAAATTTGCTCCCAAACCTCACCTTAAATCTCGAGCTGGACGGCGGCTTTGCTGATGGCTTCTAACTCAAAGGGCTTGCGCATCTTGCCTGGTCGAATTGCGAGATCTTTCGGGAATGTTATGCAAAGCAAGCTCCCTTCGACGATAATTTTAGGGCGACCTGTCGCAGTAGTCTGCTGGTAAATATTAAATTCCAACCCAGCAACGAGCCAAGGAAGTTCACTGCTGACCAATTGGAAGTTGGCTACGAAAGGAAGCTATTTTAAATCGATGGCCCGGTTAAATGAGGTGCCTTCTGATGCGCTTAATGTTCTGAAATACCAGCAGCATTGGGCCTTTTTTTGTGGACTTTTGAAGTTGCAAAGACAGCTACATAGGTATGTCCCCTTTTTTTCTATTTTTTATTAGCTTTTCTCTTTCTTCAGCCAAAAACGACCTTGGATTGGATATCATGGTTTGACTGACATATTTTGGCAGGGATGATAAGTTGGCAGTAGAAGAGCTCATACCGCAACTCCATGCGTGCGCACCCCCAGATATAGAACTAGCCATGACGCTGTCCTTCCTGGAGGTTGATTTCCAGATGCGGAAAGGCAACTACGCAGCCGCGCTTAAAATAATCGAAGAAATCGCCCAATCCATACGACAGGAGAATTTCGATGTCGCCACCCAGGTCAAACTCCTGGTTGCCAAAGCAAGAGTCTTCGACCAGACCCACCAACCAGAACGGGGATTCTCGTTGGCGATGAGAGCAGCCCATATCGCCTATCAGTCCCGATATCTCCCGGGCCTATGGGAGGCTATCGGCGTGCTCTCCGTCATCCTGATGACGTTCAAAGAATTCGAGGCCGCTCTTGAGATCCTGGATAGCATTGTCCCACAAGTTCTCGAATGCGAAGACTCCTATCTCGCCGCACGTACATATGCACTGCTAGCTGATGCCAGCATGGGACTGGCGGGCCAGGCGCAGCGGGACAAAGTGCGACAGAAGGAGCACATGGCGCGTGCGGTGGAGTTTATCGACTGTGCATTTGGGGAGTTTTCGAACATGGAGGATGTGCAGGGCCAATGCGAGATGATGGCGAAGAAAGCGACGGTGATGCGTCTCTCTGGAGATCGGGTGTTGGCGAATGACTACGCGGCTAAGTATTTGGATTTGAGGAGACAGGCGGTGGAGGGATAGGAACGGATTTTTTCTTTTTTCCTTTTTTTCTTTTTTTTCTTTTTCTTTCTTTCTTTTTTTTTTCCCCCTTTCCTTTTCCTTTTCCTTTTCTTTTTCCTTTTCTTTTTCCTTTTCTTTTTCTTTTATTTTGTTGTACTATTAGAGCTGCTATTTGCCGGTGTATAACTCCCGGTTTGATTGTTGCGCAGGTGAAGCTGGGCTACATCTGCATATGCTTTACCTGAACGGAGCACTGTATCGATCGTTATTACGAGAAGTTGGACGGTAGATTGTCTACGGGGAGAGATCTCCCTCCACTGAAGTCATCAGAGAAGAGTCAGCAATACAACGCATGGCTATTCTCTTTCTTCCCTCTTTACCGCTATGCTGAGTTATCCTGCCGTGTTGTTTCTCCGTCTCAACGAATCTCGTAGAATCTGCTTGCATCGACGGCGAAACCCACCAAGGGGGCTGGCCAATCCCCGTCACTCTGACGTCACTCGCCCCCTACTTTTGTATCCAATGGTACCTGGTAGTGACTTGCTCAGCCCGAGTGGTAACTTGTGCCCAGTCAGCCACCTGCTGAGTCAGCGCTGAGTCACCCGCGGGCGCCCCCCCTCGCAGCTTAAATGGATCCTCGATCCTGCGCGTGCAGTTTTCTTTCTTCCTCCCACAACAACAAACTTCATCAGTCTCTCTCCAAACTCTCTCTCTCTCTCCAAACTCTCTCTCTCTCTCTCTCTCTCTCTCTCTCTTTCTCTCTCTCTCACACACTACTCTCTGTTCTCCGCTGCTACCACGCGCATATCCGCTGCTTGTCTCTGCACCACAACACGCCACTCTCCTGTCCCACTTGACCTCACCTCCCAAAACCACTTCCCTTTTTTTTTTTTAAGTCCGTCGTGACAAAGAACGGGTTTATGTCAATCGAAAACCTCAAGACCTTCGGTAAGTTGCCACGCCGCCCTGCATGAAATATGATGGATGTCCTTTGCTGTCTCCTACCGCTCCAACGCATCCAGCCAGTCCCTCTCCACAACACTATCCATATGTATACCTGCAACTGGATGACAGGGCCCCTTCTATTTGTCACTAGTGCTGGAGAATCATTCCCCTCAAGAGCATCGGTGTTTTCGTGTGTGGTGGTTGTTCTGGGCCACGGCAGACTAGCGCTTTGAGAAATAGCGGGGTAGCCGTCAGCTTATTCTATAACTGGCTCAAAACAATCACACACACACACACACACACACACACATATATATATCAAGACCAGCTGAACTCAACTGAACTAACATCAACCACGTGCCTTGCCAACAGACCCCTTCGCCGAAGCTGACGAAGACACCGGCGATACAAAACAGTCTCAAAATTATATCCATATACGGATTCAGCGTATGTCACTCTCTTGTAACATCCTCTCTTGCCTGTTTTTCTGTCAACGGGTACCTATCTATCTTCCACGGTGTGGTCATGCTGACTAGTCTCAATAGAACGCAATGGTCGTAAGACTCTGACAACTGTTCAAGGTCTCCCGAAAAAGTTCGACCAAAAGAAAATCCTCAAGGTCATCAAGAAGAAGTTTGGTGTGTTTTCTTTCCTTGCATGTTTCATCGTCTTTACTGTAACGTCGTTGCTGACCATATCAAATAGCCTGCAATGGCACCATCGTCAATGACAGTGAGATGGGCGAGGTGATCCAGCTCCAGGGGGATCAGCGCAAGGATGTCCAAGAATTTTTGGTCGATAAAAAGGAAGGGCTTGAGCTCGACGCCAAAACTATAAAGGTATGTATACCCCACTTGATTCATTCCCCCCCCCCCACCTCCAACCAAAAAATTCAAAATCTCCACCTTTCGCAACAAACCATCTAACCCAATCCTCACATCTTTTTAGGTCCATGGGTTCTAAGTCAGCTCATCACGCCCGTCCCGCTTTCGTCTTCCCAGCCCACTCCAGAGGATCGAGAAGCAATGTCGTTCGTCGCCTTTGTTCGCTGACTGGGGAGTCCATTCTCGCCTGCAGAGAATGCTCTTATCCGGTATCGATTTACGGGTTGCTTCTTGCCGGTATTAGCTTTTTATGTAAACTTTTTTACCCTCTGGTTTGAGTGGTCTGGATGTAGCGGAAGCATTGTCGGCTTCACGTACCACCTGGCTGTGTGATTCTGGAAACAAACACCCGCTACATGGGAGTGGGAAGCTTTACTTGACTCTTTCCATTCGAATAAGCACGGGATGATGACGGGACGAGGCGTTGATGAGATACACCCCCATGATCCGGGAATTGTTTTTTACTTCTTCTTTACAACTCGTTTGATTGTTCTTCAAGGGTCGGATGACGTGGGAAATGCTTTCCTTTTGTGTTAAGTCGTTTTATCCGTAACTCCGAGGAATGAATAGGCAGTGGTTGATCTTATTTTTACTACTTTTTACAAAACAAATTTCCAATGGAGAAAGGGAAGCCTTGGGCCAAGCTGCTGGAGCTGACTCGTATTATTTTCTTAACTTAAGCTTGCATGGTCAGTGAGATAATACGTTTTTCTTTTCTTCGATCAGCGTTATAATGCTCTCTGTTTTGAGACTCTAGGCTCTCACTGTGGTCTGCTGATGTTATTACCTACTAGTATGCCAATGTGATTAATATCTTTGAATACGGGATTATTTTCTTGCACACTTTTTGGTTTTGCACCTGTATTCTGGCGCCTTATTCAACGTAGTCTACAAGCGAAAGGAATTCCCAACCGACCGAGAGGGATTTTAATTCAAAATATCTTCAAATATCTAATCTAGTTCATCAATTCATCGTAAAAATGCAAGAAACTCACTCTATGGGAATAAAGAAAAGAATTCAACGCATGATATCTGCTATTAAAAAGAAAGAGAGTACTTCACAATGTTTGATGTTGTATATATATTTAATATATTCTATACTATTCTGTATAATTGACTGAAGGGTTGAATTATATATGAATTTATATGGAAAGTCAAACTAAGTAACTGGGGATAAAAGAGATCTTGCAAGATTAATGAATTTTAATTAAATAAAATCATCTTCTCAGCTGATGCTTACTAAGAGCATGATTCATGTTTAATATCTCTCATATTAACCAGAACTAAGGTTTTTATATAAATCTTAAATACTACTATTTTAAACGTTACAATCATAACTAAGTGGAAATTATAAGAATAGAATTATTGAGAAGTGATTTTAAAATTTCAAAACTGTAACTATTAAGTATAAGATTCAGATTAATGATAATTATAACTTTAATAAAGTAAACCTTATAATGCGGCTTTATTAGTTAACTAACTAGTTAGTTATTATTATAAATATTATTAATACTAACTAACGTCTTGAACTAAGACACACCAACGAACTAAGACACACTACTTCTTCATGTGACATATAACTCTATTTAGTAATCTTTAATTGATTTGCTTGGTTTTTGCCATAAGGTCCCAGACGTGCAAGCGCTGTTTAAGTGTCGTACACAGACTTCGTAAGGGGAAAAGTTCCAGAAGAAAGGCTATGTTGATCCATGGATAGAATTCACTGTACAAGAGCAGTTTTTTCAGATTCTGGTAGTTTTTGTTTTCAAATCAGCATCACGTTTCATATGATCAAAAATACAGCTAATAATTTAGACTTTATATATGGAATATTATCTACAATAGCTAAAGTAGATAAGTGCTGAATATATACTGAGATATAAATGTATAGAATTAAAACTGCTCTTTTTTAATTTATTCATTAAATTAAACTTCTATATTATGAAAAAATATATAAATAATATAATGAATTAAAGCTCTTATAATTTAAAATTTATAAGCAAATGATTATAATCAATATAGATAGTATATTAGATTAAGTTTTATTCTTATATATTATTTTTAAAGATCAAAATTTTTTCAAAAATTTAATTAAATAGATTCATTAAATAATTAAAATTAAATAGTTATTAACAATTAGTTAAATTATAAAATAAAATTAAAATAACTCATGAATTTATTTACTTTAGTAAGAATAAATTATTTTATTTTTATTTTAAATAAGTAAAATAATTATTTTATATTTAAATTTAATTGAATTTTCAGTCAGAATAATATTCTATATTTTTTTAATTTTTAGATATTGATATTTTATAGTTTAAGATATAAGATTTAATTAAATAGTAAAATATAACTTAAATTTAATATAATTAAAAAGTTTAATTTTTGAATATTTATTTTACTATATATAGAAGTTTTAAAACTTAATTATTTAAAAAAAACTTTATTATTAATAATATAATTATTAATAACTTAATTAAGTTATTTAAAAATGTAGTATTCAACTTAAAATATTTAATTTTTTACTTAAAAAATTTAATAGTTTTTAATTACTTTAAATATGAGTTAATTAATCTTATCATATATAAAAGTAATTTCAGAATATATATGCTATGATAAGAGAAGAAGGAAAAATATATCAAATATTAATCATTAAATTCAATGTAAAGAGAATTGAATAAGAAAAATCTGTAGAGTTTGCTATTTCATCTGCTAGGCTCATTAAACAAACTGTGATTTAAACTCTCATATCTTATCAGCAAAGTTTAGGTCAATGCTTGCTCATAAGCATCATAAGATGCAACTAGTTATTGCAATTTAAATATAATAAGCTGGTTTGAAACCTGAGTGTATTAATTGATTCCATTTCATTATCTACTGCTGAGTGTGAGATAATTTTAGGTTAAGATCTAGTTAACTTAGAATGTTTTGAATTGATCTTTTGATCAGTTGGAAATCTCGGGAGGGACGTTTGATTCATGAGAAACTGGCCAGCTTAGCCAATCTGCTTCGGCCTAATCTGGGTGTTGGTCACGTGATAGGACCGTGGTGGATTATGTCATTATTTTATTGTTTCGTCAAGTTGAAAGGAGGAGAATTATCTTTGAAAATGGAAGAATATAAATATTTTTCTTTTTATTGCAGACGTACGAGGAAAGGGGCAAAGGAGAGTATCAATAACAGTATGTATATGATATGTATATGAAACCGTTCCAGTCCTCCAGTTCAAGCTTTTTTCTTCACAGTAAGAGAAGAACATGAGGATGATATTTGAAGGATATCAGCGAGGGGAAAAATTCATTTGTCTATCGTCCATGTTTATAATCTAAGTCTGCTGTCTAATAATGTATGAATGTTCTATGTCGTCTCTGCATTGCATGACCAACAAATAAGTCTTTAACAACAATGAGAAAGCCCCTGAAAGCCGGAACCAGAGAAGAAGGGTGGAAAATATAAGCAAAAGGGGAAAGGAAACACCCCGAATGCAACTCAAGCCTTCACGCAACAATCCCCTCAACCAACTCCCCAATCCTCATATCCCGAACCCGGCCCTCTTTCTCATTCCCCGACCCCATCCCAACAGCCCTGACCAGCATCTCCTCCATAGCAATACAAGCTCTCTCCGCCTCCTCCCTACTTAGCCAGGTCATCAAACGTAAACTTGAACCTGTGTCCACCACTGGCCATCTTCGCAACTTCCATTTCAAGCGCATACGGCTGTGGCATGGTCACCTGCGACTCCGCCATGACGATCCACTTTAGGGAAAAGGCCAGATGTTGAAATGGCAGATCGAATCTCATGTGGAGCCTTGAAGATGGTCTTTCCACATTCGTATCTTTGACGTTTTCTTCGCGCATGCGATCCGTCTTCCCTTTGAGATTTGGGAACTTGAGAATGTCTCCTACAGATATTAGGTGTCCATCCTTGTGAAGGTGGCTGACGATATTAATGGCAGCAATATAGTCACCCCCTAGGCTTAGAAAGTTTGCCTCGAGACCATATGTATCAGTAGAAATGTGTAAGATAGCGGCCCATGCTGCTTGCAAAGACTTTTGTTTCTCTGTACTAGCGGGGACAATGTATTGGGGCCCAGAGGCAGCTATTCCGTCAAATGAGTATTCCGCAAGATTCTGGAGGCTCAACGACTCAGAGATTATCTTCAAATGCTTTCTGTTTTTCCCAGATGGCATTCGTGGCATCGAGCCTAAAGGAAGAACGGCCTTGGGAATCATATATGGGAGTAAGCTGGTAAGACCCTCTCTTAGTCGGAGGACTTGTTCGGAATAGTCTTTCAAAGTCAGGACTCCATCTTGAGAGGAAGGTTGAAATACCACGAAGGAAACTAGGTGAGCCTTGGTTCCGCAGTTCCCGACAATGACACAGCATTCCTTCATTTCGTCAGTCTTGAGCATAGCATGTTCGATCTCCCCAAGTTCGATTCGGTGTCCATTAATTTTAACTTGGTCATCTTTTCGGCCCATATACTCAATTTCTTTGCCCGGCAGGAAGCAAACCAGATCGCCTGTGCGATAGATTCGACGATTGCCCTTGAGGTCAAGTTGCACTAATGCCTTCTCTGTAATTTCTGGCCTCTTCAGGTAACCCACCGCTAGCTGTGGCCCAAGAAATGCAAAGTTCTCCAACAGCACCGTACGGGACAGGTTTTTACCGGTGGCTTGAAGGATGGCCGGGAAGGCGGAAGGAAGAGCTTTGCCAATGTTCCTCCCCGAGAGGCCAGAGAAACACCTTTTTAGGGTGACCATAACAGATGTTTCTGTTGGCCCATAGACATTGTTGAGTTGTATACGGTCAGCCCATATATCCACAATCTCCTGTGTAACTGGCTCTCCCCCAACTGAAAAAGACTCAGGTAATGGGACATCATCAGGTTTGAGAAGACGAGCCACGGTTGGCGTCAAAAACATGTGCTCGACCTGAATTTCGTTGATGACTTCAGCCAAATCATTCACAAGTCGATCCGCCTGGGCTAAGCCTAGGGTAGCACCTCTATGCAAGGGTAGAAAAATGTCATAGATAGATGCGTCAAAAACGTAATTCGAAAGGAACAGGGTTTTGAAGTTGCCGTTCTCTTTCCCTTCCGACTCGAGCAGGGATTTGATGACCGCAGAGCAGGATCCGTGAGTGACCACAACTGCCTTCTAAACGTCTGTGCTTCCCAACGTACAGATGAGATATCAACATCTTCTGGGTGAACAACATCTGGCTTCAATGCAGAGTGATCCCCTAGGTTAACTTCATCCAAAATATAGAGCTTGATTTTTCTGCTGGAAAATATTCACTGTATTTTGTTTCCGTGAGTGCTATTTTGGCGTTAGTTTCGAGTGCCACGAATAGATTCCTATCCAGAGGGTTCTCAGGACTGAGGGGAAGGCAAGCTGCTCCAAGCTTTAGGAGAGAGAGGATTGAAATTATGGTTAGGGGGGATTTGTCTAATAACAGGGGTATAATGTCGCCCTTGGAAATGCCAATTGTAGATAGAAAATTGGCCATTTGATTGGATCTTTCATCTAGCCGTTGGTAGTTGATAAACTCTTTTTGTTTCAAATTGCACTGCAATTTTCGAGGGATGTCGTTGTGCCATCAACTCAAACTGACCATGAAGCGTCCGAGCGTTGGGTTGTGGAGCAAATTCAGCCAAAAGGAAATCTGCTTCCCTCTCACTGACGAGTTCAAAGGGACTGTACTGGCAAGTTGGGATTTTCTACAGCATATTCGATTGTGCGAGCGAATTGGTCGAGGAGAAACTCAAGACGGGCCCTTACCACGCGAGATGAGAGACGAAGTTCTATTCCTGAAGTTGTCTCCTCAATATTGCGAGTCGTGAATTCCGTTTGCCAGACAGGGCAAGACCCCAGAGCTGAAAAATTTGCTTTGTATTCTCGGAGGTATCTGCCTCCTTCACAGCAATGTTAACCATGTTGTCGAATAGTTCAGAGCCTTGGTGGCCACCAGCGTTAATGGACCTTTTAAGCCCATATTGGGAATATCGAACAATGTCCCATAGGGAATGGTTCACTGTTTTGATAACCTGCTGCAAGGGACGGCCCTGTTCGATGGTAATAAGCTGCGGTACTAGTGTGAGACTGGGACCCTCCATTGCCTCGATCCCATCCACTGGGGTAACCCTTCCAGACAGTGTAGTGGCCATAACCACTGAGGATAGACCGGTGTGATGGGAGAAAATGATACCCCATGCGGCATAGAAAATGGAGCTAGGAGTTGTATTGATTTCCATTATTTACCAGAAGTGCGTATATTAGATATGCTGCAACCGAAGTTCCCGCAGGGCTAACTTCTGTCAAAGTATCATCCACAGCCACATCCATTGACAAGAGCGCTTCTATGGCAATGCTTTTTTCGAAATAGTGTTTGTATCTGTCGTGGACGACCACAACCGCACGACAATGGCGGGTTCGCGAAACAGCCCCAGAATTAGGATGGCAGCGATGATGCAAATTGTAGCATGAGAATTTTTTATATGTGGGATTCCGCATGGTCGAACAACGGAACTGGGGTTCTTCCCATGGTTCCATATGCCATTTGCTGCCTGTTTTCCCACGTTGGACGATGTTCTTTGACTCGTTGCAACAACAACAACAACCAACTTGTGGAAATTTATGCGTCTACGCTGTCATGTGACCTGCCACCCCCCTAAAGTAATATTTTCGGGATTCTTTGGCATCAAGCCTCAGGCTTCGCAGTCTGTTCTTCTTGTGCATCTTCAGCCCTCTGGCATTCTCTGATGCTCTCCATCCTGCTCTCCATCTGTAGTGTATCTTGTTCATTCCGGAAAGTGGAATATCTACGTCTATTCCCTTCCAAACTCCTTACGTTGTTCTATATTGTTGTACCCAATAACTCACCCCTGGATACACTCTTCCCCCCCTTTTTCCATCTAGAGGTGTGTGGAATAGCGAGAGAATGGCCCAAAGGCCAGCTTTCCAAGAGTCCTCCTCAGACCCACCTTGTGAATTCAGTTCATCTAGTTAGCATCCCGCTAACACAGTGCAGCCCCAAACAAGTGCTTGTCCGTTTTCTGGCGGCACCCATCAACCCTCTTGACATCGCCGTAATACAAGGGAAATACCCTTTAAAGCTCAAAATAGTGTTACACCGGGGGTCTGGAGAAACTTTGCAGATTCCTGGTTCGGATGGCGCCGCCCCAGTCCTTGACTGACATTAGCCCTGGAGACATTGTCATTCTCAACCACCACGGTCGAGGCACATTCCGAACGCATGCAGTTCTTGAGCAAGACGACCTGCTGAAAAATGCCTCATGATATTGACGTTCTATATTTTGCGCATGGGAGTTAGTCCTGCCTATTTGCAGCCGAAGGATTACGATCCACTGTCCCCAGGCGACTGGGTCATACAAACCCCAGCGACTGGGACAATCGCCCATTTTGTTTGCCAGTTTGCCCGGCTGTTTGGTGCCAAAGTTATCTGTGTGATTCGAAATCGATCATAAACCCACAGATCTGGAACGAGTAAAACGCTCCCGGAATACTTTTGGTGCCAGTCTAGTATTGAGTGAAGAGGAACTGGACTCCACTTCTGAACGCGAAGAAAAACGAATTTCCCTGGCGCTTGATTCGGTATTCAAAAAAGAACGCCCGAACAGCAAGCGGCACTTCTCATCTGGTTTACCGAGCTGGTATGTGAAGGGCTTTTGAAACTACGGGCGCTTGAATATGTCCGATAGAGTGCAGGCGATTAAAGACTTGGAAGCGAAACTGCAGGGAGAAATCGGGGAAATCAAGAAAACACACAACCCCGAGTTGGGCCAAAAGAAGAAAGTTCTGGTGTTTGAGGAGTAGGTTGCTCAGGAGGGAATAAGGGCAGTTTACTTGCCACGTTAATTTTCTGAGGGGGGTTTCTATTTACGATCTAATATGTCCGATTGTCACACGTCCTTTACCTCCCATTTCTAAGGGATGCAGGTTTAGGTGCTATTTCGGGAATCAACCACAACCACAATCAATATGAGAGAATTAATGAGAATTTGGATGCCAAAATTTTAGAAAGCCATTAATTGGATATGCAGATGGTTCCATGTGTCGTGGGTCAACGTGCAGACGGACGCTCCAGTGAAAGTAAAAAGCCTCTGGCCCCGCTGATGTTAATTTTTTGGCAGAGTGTTATAGCTTATTGGGACAACAGGCTAGAATAATATTCCAAGACAAGGAATATAACCCAACGGCTATGTGGTAAAGACGCTTCCTGGCACCTCGTGCTACCGGGGAAAAAAAAAAGCCTAGGCCATTATTTCTCCAACCGACCCGATGCAAAACTCCGCCGCCCTGAGATGTTCTCCCGGATCGACATTTCCTGACACCAACCTTACAGGGTTGCATTTTCTGCTGAGCCAGGCATCAGAAATCACAAGAAGCAGGAAAGAAACCCAAACCTGTCTAGGCCCCACAAGGCCCAGAAACTTATGGCCTCAGCTTTCTCCCCGTCCGACCCCTCCCCCCCACCTCGTGGGGAAGATCTGGGGCTCAATCCGTCCCGCCCACCCAAGCACTATTCCACTGGGCCGTGGGTGCCGCCCGTCCAAGCGCACCGAGTATTGCTATCAGGATAGAATATATCTGTCTTGAAACGCGCAAGTTACACACGCCCATCGTAGATCCCGCTGAAGAAAATTTCTGCCACAACCCAGGCACCCCCCAGTCGATTCGGGTCCGGCAAATCTTAAGGAAATTATAGTTAAGCTTTAACTAATTGGCGCTAAAAATTATAATCAGCCAGCGACAAATTGCCAAAATCAAAAAAAGCTTGTCTCAAGGTTTAACTCCGCTTTTAGTCTCATTCATCATGTCATGGCTGTTCGGTAACGAACTACTTCATCCACAATGATGCAATTCGAGCAGTTTTGTCTGTATTTGTCAGCTTTCTTTCTTTCTTTCTTAGAGCTGATGCTTGGGAATGATGAATTTTCTTCTGTCATCTCTTAAACCGTTCTTGTAACTAAAGGCATGGAAAACAAACCCCAACGTGTTGGAAGTTGTATCAGTTGGTATACTGAGTGTATGCACAGCACAGCACTACCTGACGAGTCAGACATGGGCGGGGATCTTTCAGAGTTCTAGAAGACATGAAGAGAAAAGCAAATATGCCGTAGCTGGAATATCCAGTTACACATACCGTCGGTAGCTGGGGTTGGAAAAGCAGAGCCGAGCACGTATTAACCCGTTTCCCCTCCTGGCCTGGTATTCATTCCGTTGTATAAAATAATCCCTGAGAGCTCGTTTATCTTACTAATTCATGCATTATTATTAATTCATCTGCTTCCCATGTTGGTTTGGTTGTTGGTTCCTTCATTTCACTATGTAGATCGCTGGACATGCCAGAGATACCCAAGAGATCCACCGAAACTTATCCACAATTTACCCTATCCCTTTCATATTAGTCCACAGATTGAGCGGACGCTGACTCTACTCTTTTCTTCCTCACATACAATAACTCTCCCCCAACAGGAAGTTAAACGGCCACGGCTCGGCTATACCAAATGGCTGGAGACAGCAATGGCCGAGATACCACTTCCTCGAGCTCATCCAGTAGAAGCGAGGTCAGCATCACTAAAAGTGCAATGGCACCCATTCCAAACGACGTGCAATCCCATGGGAACCATGGGGATGGTGATGTTGAGGGGCAGAATGTGACAGAGCCCTCGATTGGAGACAAATCCTCGGCGCCAAATAAGCTTCCACCACCACCACCACCAAATGGCGGCTTCAAAGCTTGGTTACAGGTTCTGGGCGCTTTCTTTCTATTTTTCAACTCATGGTGAGTGATTTGCCCCTTTGAGACGTGGTGATTGGGGATAATTTGGCGTATGCCGTATGCCATGGGATGAAAAAGGGGCGAGGGGATATGCGGCTACAACTGACCATTTCGTAGGGGAATCATCAATACCTTCGGCGTATATCAAACTTATTACAAAACAACATACATACCACAGCAATCCCCATCAGCTATTTCCTGGATCGGGACAACCGAAGGGTTTCTCCTCTTCCTCGTTGGTGTTATCGCGGGCCCCATTTTTGACAAGGGGTATCTGCGCTTTCTCATCGTCACGGGCAGCTTTTGCGTCGTCTTCGGCCTGATGATGACTTCTCTGAGCACTGAGTATTATCAGCTCTTCTTGGCACAGGGTGTCCTTGTCGGGATCGGCTGTGCGTTTTTGTTTGTGCCCAGTGTAGCCATTGTGGCAACGTACTTTACAACGAAGCGCGCGTTGGCAAGCGGTATCACGGCCTCTGGAGGAAGTCTCGGTGAGTTTTTGTGCGAGGAGAGGCCCCCTCATATCATCTATGGGTTCGCCGAAGCTGACTGATATTAGGAGCGGTGATTTATCCGATTTTATTTCGCAAACTCATTGACAAACTCGGGTTTGGTTGGACCACGCGAATCATCGCATTCATAGCACTTGGGTGTTTGATTGTATCCATCGCCATCCTGAGGTCCCGGCTACCACCCCCTCCCAAAACTCAAAAACTCCTTGATATATCTGCCGTGCGCGACATCCCATATCTAGTCCTTAGCTTCGGCATATTCTTCGTCTTCGTTGGCCTTTACTTCCCCTTCTTTTACGTCCCAACGGACCTAAAGGTAAGGCTGCATGCCAGTGACGACCTAGCTTTTTCCATGATAGCCATTCTCAACGCTGGTTCCATCTTCGGTCGGATCATCCCCGGTCTCCTGGCGGATCGTTTTGGTGCCTTGAATGTAATGATTCCCTGTTCATTCGCTTGTGCTGTTCTTCTGTTTGCTTGGATGGGAATTCACTCGATCGCGGGCTCTATTGTTTTCTCCTGTCTGTATGGGGTTTTCTCCGGCGCCCTTGTCTCTCTCCCACCAACTGTTATTGTGTCTCTTAGCCCTGATCTATCCCTCGTGGGAACACGCATGGGTATGTGTTTTTGGTTCGCAGGCTTGGGACTGTTGATTGGCAACCCGATCGCAGGCGCACTTCTTGATATTTACTCTAGTGTGTTTTGGAAGGCGCAGTTATTTGTTGCCGTGTTGTTGATTACCGGGACGGCATTCCTGGCTTGGGTAAGAATCATGGTCGCGAAGGAAAAGGGTTGGAAAATATAGACCCGGAACAGGGTGGACAGTTCTGGATAATGTTATGGGTCGGGCTGACTGTGGCTTTTTGGGGCTGGCGTTATGTTTACCGTTATGACTGTATAATTATTGTAGACATTTCCTTGGAGAAGAGGGACCCAAGTTAGAGGATGGCCTCATTCATGTTTGAGAGTTTGGAAATTTTGCTAGATAATAGATTTAATGACTACTTTCTCCTTATATCACTTCTTATGCTTTTGCTTGATAGTCTAGTCATAACAGAGGAGTTCAGGGGCCATTGGTGGATGAAAGAGTGCGAACCGACAAAGCCAACGTATGCAGACATACTGAAAATTGGCATGGGTAGAAAATAAGGCACAAATGAATTGTTCACGAAGTGATTTGCTGCATCTATTTAGGAAACCACCCAAAAAGTGTGAGAAACCAACGATAACGTAGAATTATCGGAACTGGAACAAAGCCAACAGCATATGTAGCCAACGTGTGCTGGTGCATGTGCGTGCCACCCATGCAGAGAGCGCTCCAATCAGTTCTGCTGCAAATGTTAGAATATAAATATTAATTTATTGTGGGAAACAGGGAGTTCCTACCCTGTATTCAGCAATTATTTCCGTGCCAATTTCCAATGCCTTTTTACCCATAACGAATAAGGGGACTTCAGGCTCATTCTCACGTGTGAGGTGCAGCTGTAGAAGCAAAGAGCACATACTGATAAAGCTTGCAATTGAGAAGACGTAGATTGTAGCAAATGTTTCTTTCTTAACATTAATTTGGCGCTGGGTGATGTGGTAGACAAAAGAGAGGACCTGTTTCGGGAATGAGAGAGATCTATTACCAACTGGGGCAGACGCATGCATAAATTCAAGGAACACGAACCGATGCGATTGATATCCATGCCGGAAGCAGGAGGCGGGGATCCGAGGATGCCCCTGATAGGTAGAGAATCCATGAAGTGAGGTAGGCAAGAAGACCATTTGTAGCCAAAAGTCGAATCACAACAGCAGGAGGTGCATAATTAAGAAGCCTAGTTTCCCGGGTCAATCCCAGAGATTTGTTATTTTACTTGCTCGTTTGTTCCTGGTTGTCAGGTAAAGACCCAGCTCACCATCTAGACATCATACAATCCGTGAAGAAGTAGAACAAATATGCCGATGCTGAACACTGTAATTCAGAAATAAATTAGCATTGTGGATCCATTTTGATCTGTGTCATCCTGTTGATTTTCATGATGACATCCAACGAGAATTGGAGCAGCAGATAGCGGAGGATTTACCCAGATAATGGCCAATGCCACTTCTATAACTCTGAACCTCCTCTCCACATCCCAATCGCCCGAAGTGCTCATCACAATAGCTGCTGTCCATCCCTCATGCCAAAACTGGGGCCTGATACGCAGAAGCTCTGCCAGGAACATGAATGCACATCGTAGCCCCCACCATGCTGCGGGTAGGACGCTGAGACCCCGACAGAATAACAAGGGGATATACCAGCGGCGATCAACGCCCAATATTACAGCGACTCGAGGATGGAGGGCCGAAACCACATCGCAGGATGTGTCGCAGGATGTGGAGGTGGAGGTATCGGATGATGGGAACGGTGACGGGGGGACCACGGTGAATGGAGGGGGGGAGGGAATTGAGGAGGAAAACGAGGGTGGAGGATCGAGAGGATCGACTGGAGCCACTGGGTGCTCGCGATCTGGTCTTAAGGAATTGCGGAATCGAGGCTGAGATTGTGGACGGAGAGCATGATTGGGAGGGGGAGGGAGTAGTTTGCGGTCGAGGGAGGAAGCCAGTCTCGAGTCAACGACTGTCGCAGCCGTGAGCACAAAGAAAAGATAGATAGGGATAGACGGATTGGAAATAGACACAAACGGGCGGGTATTTTGCGGACAATTGGTAGGAATTGTTCCTGTACGAATGAGCGGGATTGCAGGAGAGGTTGTAGGTTGTTGACAAAGGGGAGAGAGATTGTGGCTTAGAATGAGAAGCAGAGTTAATTAGAAATAGTCCGGGCATGATTGGAGATCTGCCTAAGCGCTTAATGACGCTTCGTTAAGACTTGCGCCTATATTATGGGGGTGGATAGGCACCAGATGCCCCCTCGTTTAGAGGCCTGTCGTAGGGCAACACGCCTAACCAGTCTCTGGAACTCGGCCGGGAGACGCCCGCACCCAATGGATGAACTTGATTTTGGTTCTTCGAGAGAGATTTCAAAAATTACCTGCCAAAAGAGCGGAAACCAAATAACCTAAAAACCCGTCTGCAAACTTGAGAAAGAAAAGTCTTCATTTCGGAGCCCAAATTGATATGTCCAGGTTAATTAGTTACTTGGATGTCGCCTTTCCGCACTGCATATAACTGTGATCTGGGTAGTTACGTTATGTTGGCTTGAATATCGTGGCGAATCAATATCAATCCGAAGTCACGAAACTAAAACAATGAACACCGGTTCCGTTAACTATATTTCACTCATGATATGTTATGATCCTTGTTCCAGGGTGGCTTGACCAAGTCCATGATCCTGGCGAGAACATGATGGATGCATTGATAAAAAGCTCTCTCTGTTCAACCATCAGTTGCTCAACGGTAACTAACGACTAAGCTAGCAGCCCGATATCTAGTGCAGCATATCAAAAGTGTTACGGCCATGTTGTCGTTGAGAAAAAGGTGATAACCTGTCTTGTTTTATCGACTTGTATATGCCAATCCCAGCCGAAATAATTCAAGGCTACCCCCGATGGGGTCAGGTTCGAATGGAAGAAACTACAAGGAAAGACAGACACTCTGTGGGATCAATGAATCAATCCTCTACCTTCTGGCCCTGTCAATAACTAGTTGACCAGGGTCCCAGCATGATTTTTCAGGGGCATCCTTTTGGAGCGATATTAGCAAAAGGCAGAAGTCCTGGCAAGAAGAAGTCAAAAAGAGTCTTTTCGGTGTATGATCTAAATAGCCAACCCTCCTTGCCAAAGCTATCGGGCTGGGGAACATCCTCTACGTCGTGTTTGACCACTCCCAATCGCATGCCTGTTATCCGCTGGGATATTCATCTAGCGTTCGGAGGCCTCGATCAAGGAGACACTTGACTTTGGTTTGCTTATTGACATCGACTCTCTGACCATGGAATTCACGCATCTATCACAACTCACCAAGGATCCAAAGTGGTATGTATGATGCCGTGCACCGCATCATGGAAGTGTTCGATAGGTATTATAATGAGATAAGACTTCCAGGTGTGTGAGATGTCTAAACGTAGAACTTTAAATAACTTCTCGACACCTGCATGCTAGGCATGATGTCCGACTCGTTTTACGAGTACCTGCCCTATGATGCACGCCCTGCTAGGTGGCGTGGATGAGAAGCATGAGAGATTGCATAGGAAGTCCATGCCAGACCGACGATATGCTGCATCCAGAAGACATCGAGAGTGTCTTCATCCTTTATTGCATCACTGGCTGGATGAACTTGCTCAATACAGCCTGGGAGATGTTCACAGCTATTTGAGGAGATGACATAACCTCGTATGGGAATGGGGGTCTGGAAGATGTCGCCGTTTCCAGAGCAACGGCTGCGGGGGACTTGTCAGATCGCATGGAAAGCTTCTGGCTGGCAGACACCTGGCCCATGTTTATTCGACATTTAGTACCCTGGTTTGATTAGTTCGGATGGGTGTGTGCAGAACTCAGAGGCCCATCCATTCCGGAGGATGAGATGATGTGCTGCTTGTCTTCTGAATATGTCATATTTATGAACAATAGCTCCTTTCCCAACTCTTCTCCCTATCTGTGTATTTACAATTATTTTCTTCGTGTTTGCCACTTATTGATGTTCTAGTTTTCCCCCTTCATTGTAGATTGGCGAAAATATGCCCAGAGAAACAAATGTCATGGCCACTGACTGGGAAATACATTATTCCCATTCCCATTCAATTCTCCGCTAGATAAGAAAGTTCAAAAACAAACGAGCTCCTTCACTGCCCTCCACATGATTTATTCTCAGTAATTCTCATAAGATATTCTGCTGTTCAGACGGAGAATCGATTCCCTTTCGGGTGATCCATAAGTGATGCAGAATTTGCTGCCATGTTATAGGTATCAGAATATGGCGAAGACCATATGGTCATGGCATCTTCTTGCCTCAATCGACGTTTTGAGAGTTGTTGAAAGCGAAACAAAGTTAAGTGATATTAAGAAACCTAACCCCCCAGGTCTCACCTCACCCCCACGTACAGCCCATTTCTGAGAATGGCGCCCACAACAGTGGACGGTCATACATGCATGTCGTGTTGATAAGCAAGAACGCAAAATCAACTGATGAACTCGCAGGAGAGGAAGCTATATCTATTCCATTCCCTCCCATATCAGAAATGGCAATAGAAGTCAACCCCGCAAGAAGATCGACTAAGTCGCTTGCTTCCTTGAAATCAAGATAGAAATAACAGCAAAAACAGAGGCTTGAGCCGCGAGCAGGAAGAATGACACCACGACTAAATGATACCTCACTGAAAGAGGGCGGCAATATATTTCAGAAGTTGGGAATTGGTGATCAACCAGTAGATTCAGCGCTGGAGGTTGGTTTGCCAGTGTCGGGGGTAATAATACCCCTCTCACCTCCATTTAACGAGAAGCTCGCTAACCTGGTATAGGACATTAGAGAAAATAAGAAATACGAGGCGTAGGAAGATATCAAGTAGCAAAATCCTTCCTGAAGAACTCCTTAAGAAAACTGCTGGCCGAAAACATATTGAGAAGTGACTGTGAGGTGAGTCCCAGTACCAGGTTGAGGTGGCATGGATTGGGATTCTCATGACACCGCATTTAGTGAATAGCGATATAGGTTCCCATGAAAGGGTAATGGCTCATTTCAACCGCAACCTGAGGGAAGAAACCTGCATCTTCCGTTGCTACATCTTGAGGGTCCACCAGCCACCGTGGCCGTTGTTGTCGTTGTCACCGTCGTTATTTATCGCTCTCCATCAGATATCTATCCACAGATAACTACCCAATAACTACCCAAGAATAGCCAATTATGAACTTGGGACCCAGGTGCACCCCCTATCCTCAAAATAAAGTCAAAAGTGCTTCAATGAATAAATCCATTGGTTTCTATGATTTGATGCAGCTTGAACATAGACAACTCATCTTAAAAGGTTGAACATTTCATGTTCATGCTACAAATTGATTGGATGATATGTGTGATGACTAATGTTTCACGTGGTCTGTTGAAAGAATACGCTAGTCCAAATGCGGTAAGCGTCTTTTTCGACTTAATCTCAAGATTTCAAAAGCGTCAAAAAATTAAATTGAGAGGATGTCAAACACTTCAAGGAGTCATATGGGCGCATAGGGCTCAATCCCGCCAATAACCCTGCTTCCAAGGCCACTCTGCAGGCGTTTTCCAGTTTCTTATCCGAAATTGCCTCAATTGGCCCCCGGGCGGGCCCTTCAATCACGATGACCTCCTCCGTTGCTCCCCGCTCCTCGTCCAACCTCATATATTCTATATCATGCCGGACCACAACACCCCATCACATTCATGCTCGACCCTCTTCACAATCTTCCTCCTCCTTTTCCCGATTCTCGCGATGTCTTCTCCTCTCTGGCCGTCCATTCTCCAGCACTACACAGCGAGAAGCCTCGATGAGAAACGCCCAAATACTGAGAGCTAAAGCTCCGCCTGTTATGAGCGGGTCAAATCAGATGAAAAAACTTATGCAAAAAATGGATGCGGACTCCATTCCGGATGATCTTGGACTTTTGCCAGGCACTTTTATCCGGCCATTGTGGAGGCATATGCCGTCCATATTCAAGTATCCGAAAGAGCGGCTGTGGATGGAGTGGGTATCAGTTAGGTCGAAGTTCCAGGACTTTGTTGGGTAAGTTATACCCATCTACATGCCGTCATTTATCCTTCTTTGAAAGGGTGAGAGCCAGCGGCGGATGGATCGAGACTGTCGATTTCTCTGTGTCAATTTTCTAAGATAAATCCAGCTAACAAAATCTTGCGCAATTGCGCCTGTTAAACACCCAATGCCAGTGTCGTAGCCTATTGCAAATACCTCGACAAAAAATACAAGCTCCCTCTCCGCTTACGAGAAAGGAAGTGTGTGGCCCTCGACCTCCATAAATCCATGTACACAGCCCTCGCCGCGTGAGTTCTCCCGCATTTCCCCCCCCAACATTCCCCACGGGGAAATGTATAAGTTCGAAAGGCAGACAATCCCCTGCTAACCATGTCCCATTGAACGACCCACCAGCGCCGATATCGCTACCCTCCAAAATATCTGCTGCAGCGGCCTCTACACAAATTTCTCAAACCGCATCGCCCGGCGACCCGAGCATGCCAAAAAGCTCATCTGGACCCTAGACAAATACATAACATTCCCCTTCTCAACGACCCTCACAGGCGCACGGGTGATAGCTGACCGCGCTGCAAACATCGGCCACGGAGTTGGCATCCGGCAGGTCGTAGTGCGTATTCAGAGCCGGCAGACATTGAGCAGGACGCCGCCTCCTGTAACTAAGGAGGCACAGTCGCCTACGCCGGTGCAGGCGAAGCAGCAGGATTCCACTGAGTATATTGTGTTGCAGAGGATGGTGATTGGTGGGAAGGAGAAGAATTGGAAGGTGTGGGGCCTTGCGAGTGCGACGACGATGGAGGATATGGAGACGAATCCGGCGTTTGCGCGGGGGTTGTCGTTGAAGGATCGGTTGGAGCTGATATCTGGTGGGAAGCTTGGAGGGAGCTAATGGACTGCTTCTCCCAAATAGACTGTCGGACGAAAGGGAATGCGGAGGATTATTGGCTATATCCTATTATCCTGTTTCTGAAATAGTCTTAGAAGGAAAGTAACTAGGTGATAATTGTTATGTAAGATACTTGTAAAATTGTGTTTTTCCCTTTGAACTTCCCTAAGATGAGCTCATGTGAGTTTTGGATAAGTTTGTATCTTGGATTCATTTCTGAACTATTTCTTCAAGATTTATGATCAAACTTTTTAACTACTATGCTCTTCTTGCATTTTTCTGTGATGTTAGCCTTAGACGCACGCGCACACAATTGTAAATATTATATTGTACGTTAAAAGTCCAAAGGCCCGCATTTCACATCCGTAAAAAATAAACAAAATAGCTCTCAAATCTAATATCCAAAATTGTCAACATATATTAAATGCATTCCAATCTATTAATATGTATGTACATGTATAACCGCAACATACAAGCGTCCAGGCTGGGCGAGTATCTAACCCTACTCAAAAAATGCAAACCCATCCTCCTCCGCCCAACTCAATGAAATTAAGAATCTAACACATTGGAAACAAATGGAAACGAAAGCTCCTTTTCTCTCAATTTTTGTATTTGCATAACTTAAAGATAACAAAGTACATGCAAATATAATAGACAGATATTAGTCACTAAAGCATATATGAGAAAAAGCAGGAGGAGAGGTATGTTCGCTCCATTTGGCGTCAAAGAAGCTAGCATAGCCCGAGTAAATGAGCTGAGCCAAGCTTTGCCATGTCATGCCAGGCCAGCAGAGTGTCCCCAGGTCCCTGGGGGAACAACTGGATCGCTATGAAGGACAACTGGACCAGATACTAATGGGGAGCTATCCCATTAAAACCACTTTTTTTTCACCGACCGCTCCCTTACAGAGGTGTTTTAACGCTGCCAGGGACAATATTTGCTTCCGTATCTTGCTTGGCAGCAAATTGGAGGGTGGAAGGCAGTCCTTCAACACCAGATTCAATGGGAGAAGTTCCATAATCGGAAATCCCGTCGCCGGAAGGTTGAAGACGTGGCGATGGCTTATCCAGCGCATCGAATCTGTGATGTTGGTATTTGCTCAGCAGGAATTGATAACCCAATCGCAAGCCTAGGGCTGCGATACCGAAGAGAATACCACCCAAGGGGGCGGCCAGGAATGCACCTTGGGTAGTTGTTAGTCACTGGGTATAGCATAGGCAGGTGAGAGAAAGAAGGAGATAAAACAGGGAAGGACATACCAAAAACACTCCAGTCTTGTGCATAAAGACCGTTCCCCAAAAGAATCAATTTAGCCCCCTCCTTTGCATCTTTGAAATAAATTGCTCCGAAAATGAAGACAGAGAAAATCCCCCCTAGCCCTCCAACGACTACCTCGAATCCCTTCCACCAATACGCTTTCTCCCAGAGCCCAAAAGTTAAAACAGGAATCGAAGAAGCAGATACGAGATCAGATATCAGAAAGATCTGCAGCACGCTGGGAGACTTGAGGGCAACAACTACGACAGGGATAATGCACAGAACAACAAGGATGCGCACATATATCAGTGGCAGGCGGTTGCGGAAGAGGTCGTTACTACCCGTGCTAACCATGGCAGACTGCAAGCTGTCAAATGCGGCAGTACTAAGAGAAACAGTCATGACTAGCACGATGCCAACCACCCAGCCAGGGAGTTTTTCGAGAAGCAGGAAAAATGCGATCGAGGCCCGCTGGGGTGGGTTTCCAGGCCAGGCGCCCGACCATGCTGCCAGTAAACCCGTTACACCAACCAGGGTGAGGATGCAAAACACAGTGCCACTTGCAATTGATACGCCGATGCGCAGGTCGCGGTCACTTTTGGAGGCGAAAGTTCGCAGCCAGAAGTTGGACAGGAAGAAATCGTTCGTGAAGATGGCGATTGGGAGGATATATATTAGCTGCCATCCAAGAAGGGAGGGGTCCAAGAGGCCAGAGGAGTCGATTAGGGATCGGTCGATGGTCGTTTTCGTACCCACGGTGATGACAGCTATGATGACTAATCCCACCACCATTGCTCCCTGGATGTTGTCGGTGATAAAAGATACCTTGAAGCCACCCAGGGACGTGTAAATCGTCGTCACCATAACTTGAACGATCACGGTTGGTAATCCGTTGAGTCCAGTGAGAGCATTGACGATTTGTTGAAGCGCAGAAAGTTCCGCAACCATGTATAGAAATAACGTAATCAATCTATCGATGAAAATTAGCCCGTTCCCCAAGAGAAGAAGAGGAAAGGGAAAACTGGAAGTAACTCTGGGAGCCTACGTTAAAATACTAAGGTATATCGCCGTGACCAAACCATATCGCTCCCGGGCCCATTCGGTGAGAACAAAACCCTCGGGACATTTTGTCCTGATAATTGGCCCCAAATATCCAAAAACCAATAGCGGTAGTGCCGAAGCTAACCCATAGATAACCAAGCCCTGGACACCGGCAATAGTAGCGATTTCAGGATAGGTAAACAAAATCCCCGATCCAAGAGCTGCAAGTAAAAGAAGGTTACAGACACATTCCTAAAATTAGCATAATCCATATATCTTCACAGAACTAAGGCGGGGATATGTGGGCGGAACAGATGGGGGGAAGGGGAGAAGCGGCAGCACGTTTCCCACGCAAGTATTAACTTGGTCGAGTGTTCGACGGTACAATCTCAGCATCATGCCTGCATTCGAGCGCCCGACAATCTCTCGGGGTAAACAACAGCAACAAAATAGAAGCCATGATCTTCCGGAGGTGGATTGTCAAGTTCCCGCCCAATGCCGCAATCAGCGCCCGTAGTGAAGCCGCAGCGAATGCTGCTCTGGACCCACCGATATACGGGGGGAAAAGAGAAAGTTAAGTGATTCGGGATAACTTCCTCACGAATCCTTATCTTCCCTAATTTCTCCATAGACCGTCAGGCCCAGAACAGCATCCACTGAACTGAATCTCTCGAATACGAACCTGCTGTATGCTGCGATATAAATATAGCATCAATCTGTAAGATTATACTCCAGGTCCCCTTCGCTTCCGGAGACTCGCCACCACTTTAGTCATTCCGCAAAGCTCAAGTTGTGGCCCGTGGTGGGATACGTTATTGGTGGCACATGTCACCACCACGATACTTAATTGATTGTTGTTTTCTGCTGGGTCATCGCCGCTAGCTACACAAGTATTCCTGCTGCCGCTTCTCACGAAGAAGAGAACCATGGGAGCGCGATGGCGCTTTGTCTGCGCAACTCACCCGACGCAATAAAGTTCAGGGCGAGAGGGATAGCTACAAAGGATGACAGGGGAAGCATTAGCCAGTTCACAACGAGGTGATCGTGAAGTGAAAAGGAGAAAAACAGGGCTCTGGTAGTGTGCGCGGGGGATGCCGTCTAGAGATGCAAATAAATAGATAAGGTTCCTTCGAGAATGGAATGATTATGGAGAATTGTTCGTGGTGAGTGAGTGCAGTTTTTTTTTCTTCTAACCCTTCTGAGTGCCATTACTGGACACGAAGTCCTTGGTAGTTTGTTTTCGAAGACGATATGCGATATAGAGTCCGAGAGCTCTGCGCCATAGTTCCGAAGTAACATTAGCCATATCCATCCTCAACATCTGTAGTCGCCAAGGGGGCGTGGGAAGGAGGAGGGAGGTGGATAGTGTTTGGAGGAGATCTATACAGGAAAGCTGCGTAGGTCAAATATATCAAGGCATTTGATGCCTGGGAGGACGGTTGGCCCATTCTCTGGACAGTCGCACGGTGGGTATTGGATGTGGGATGTTGCAGCTAAAACTCAGTAGTAAAAGGTGGTAGATAAGCTTCTCAGAGATGAGCTGCTGGGTGAAAGAGAAGACAGCAACGAAGTATAGGGTAAGGCACAGAAGAACGAGGAGAATGAAAAGCAGAAAGAGGAGAAACGGTGTGACAATGAAGAGGAGGGCGGGAATGGTTTTTCATATTCGATTGTAGTCGAAACATGCAACTTTCAAAAACTGCGCCTTTACTCAATCCCACAAACTTCCAAACTTTTCAGGGGGTTGTCGTGGTCACGTGGCGATAAGGGAGGAATACATAAGTCATTGATTGAAATGATTCTTCCAGTTCACATTACTTTTTTAAAAAAAAAAAAATAAAAAGATAAGAAATTGGAGTTAACTTCTTTATCTGTGATCAAATCATTTAAATACAGAAATTATAAATTTAAGTTATTAATAAATTAATTTTTATTTAAAGATTTAAATATTTACAATTTAAAATATCATTTGTAATTAATTTTAAATTAATAATATATCTCATTCATATTTTGAAAATTTTAAAATATAAAAATGCAACTATAGGATATTGATTAATTATATTAAAGTTGATTTAAAGATAATATTATCAAATGCTATTAAAGTAATATATTAAGTTTTTATAATATATTATATTACAAGATTAAAGAAGTTTAATATAAGATTTTTAAAAAAAAAAGTAGTTAATAATAAGTTTTTGAAATCAATATTAAATATCAAATTATGTTGCAATTAACTATATTGTATTAGTAAAAATATTATTATTAATTAGTTATAACATAAAAAACTTTAACTAAATTTAAATATTTTTTTAATGAAAATTTAATTAACTATATTATAAAGAAGTTACTGTCAATTAGTTACTATATTTAGTTATGTTATTTTTCTACCATTTGAAATTATAAAAATACGTAAAATATAATACTAATTAGTTGTTTTTAATCTCTGATGAACAGTATAATCATGAAATAATAAAGCAAAAATTACTTGAGAGATTGATAAATAATATATTAAATAATTGATTTTTTTTTTCACTTTTTGCTTCTGTATAAGTACATCTTCTCTCTAAACTTATATTGATCTCAATGTAAATAGATTTGTGATAATCAGAATTTTTAATATTTAATATACCCTCACTTCTTGAACGAGTGTAGGTTTGGCAGGAGTTGCCAATATTATCTGGAGAGGCACTATGCACGGGGTAGGCAATGCCACACGGGGATCTCGCGCTTGAGCCGAGTTAACTATTAGGATGGATACTGATTATAATAGGCAGCTATCTTGCCAAGGCAGAATAAATACTAAAGTCAACCGCAAGAATGACAAACAAAGCTCATAAAGAGGGGAAGAGCAGAAAGAACTGTCCATGAACAAGGCAAAAGAACAATAGGTAGTTGTCGCTGATCGTCGACCGCAATAATGAGAAGAAAGGGAGAGGGTGGGGTGGTGCGGGGAAGAGGGTTAAGGGATTTAGCTACATCAGAGATATTACAACCCACAGCAAGGGGTGATTTGTTGGCTAGTAGAGAAGCAAGGTAGAAATAGAAATAGAGGGTAGGTAGGGATACAAGTATAATTAATGGAAGGAAGGGTAAAGAATCCAGGTAAAAAAAAATGGGCGGGAGAATATATAATGGAAGCCAAATGAAGGGATCGAGTGCCGCTGTCCTTCTAATCCTCATCAAAGATCTGGAACGTATTTTGCAGAATGGTCTCGATGACCCGCGCCTGCCAGCCGGAGTCCGCAATGTTGTGGCCCGCATTTGAGCCCATCAGGGTCAGACTAGGAAAAAGGTGTATCGGGATTAGTGAACATGGCATTTAAAAAGGGATAAAGCGCGGCTATAAAGACTCACCCAAAGCTAATGGCAATATTGCCTGCGTTCATTCTGTTCTCTGTAGACCGCTCTTGCACATGGTTGAGATGCTGTGACCATTTTTCCAACACAAGTCAGCAGACCGTAGGTTCAAAGATTGATGGGTGAGGTTAAAAGACCAGTGGGGTAGAGGGGGGCAAACCAAAATCAAGGCCCGGAGTGTAGCATAATTCGGGTCGGGAAGATTGTTTATAAGGGCATGCAAGGCGTCACGACGTTGGATATCATCTTCGCGTTCTATATGTTATGTCACAGTGGGCATATTTAGCAAACCATACATCCAAGCGCAGAGGGATTGGGAGCAAGTGTTCGACATACGGGCCGCAGTGATGAAATCTGAATAGTGCTTATTCGTAAACAACGGGTCCGGAAGCTCTCTGAAGAACTGCTTCAGCAGCCCAGCTACGCTGTTGACGTCATGGAAGAAATTTTCCGGGTTTGTGAAATCGACTTGGGAGGAATCTACAGACCATGATATACGAGGTTAGTTTGACCAAACGAAACCATGCTGAAACCTAACAGGTTTTTTAAATCTTCTTGCCATACCATTATCAAACAAAGCTTTCAAATGCGCAATGTGACTCGCATTGCCGGAGAGACGGTAGATGCCCTCAACATTAAGCCCGAAAAGCTCAATACCCTGGATGCACTGGTACACGATCATGGGAATGGCAGTTCCGTCTCGCTGGAACAGTTCTTCCAATGAAACACCAAATACTGGTTTGAGCGGCGGCAGATCTGTATTATACCCGTTCCTGCCTCCCAGCTGGCGATCCTGGGGGGGTGGTGCTGGCGCCTGCGAATAAGGCTGGTAGGGCGTCGGCATCTGGACGGGGCTCTGTCCCGTATACTGTTGTTGTGGGGGTGGCACTTGTGTGGGCACTGGTGCTTGTGGGTGCATGCCGTACTGTTCATGGTGTTGCATGGGCGGTTGATGTGGTGGTGGTGGGGCCGGGAACATCATTGGAGGTTGTTGATGCTGGGACTGGGTGGAAGCAGACTTGGGAGAGGTTGGACTGTGGGTGGGGCCGGAGAATTGCTGCGCTGCGGCCGGGTGCTGACTAGCTGTCTGGATAGGAGTTGGCTGCGGAGGTGCCGTGAGTGTCTAGGTTTGGCACGTTAGATAGAGAGTACATTTCCTAGCAAATAACCTGGGCGGAATACGAACTGGATGCCTTTCGTATCTGATCTCTGTTACACCCGATGCAATCTTTGACGCATGGCTCAAGACATAAGACTTGAAATCCCCTTCGTTGTCCACTTCATAGGCAACGTCACGTAGGCTCTTGAACTCGGCACCACTGACCGGGGGGATGTTTCTCAATGGGCTCACGCATAGGCCATTTCCAAGCAAAAGTTTTTCTGTGAACGTAGCTACAGACAAAAATGTCAGCTTTAGATGTCATAAACCCCAAATGCTCGGTAAAGAAGAATAAAAAGAACATACCAAATTTCTGCATCTGAAGCCCAAGTCCCGAATCGCCTTCCGAAATCAAATCCTGCAGTGCACGCACCGCCTGCGGCCTCAGCGAAGTGGTAAGTTCTTTCCTCTGGCTCTGGGCAGATTGGACCTTGGCCGCATAATCCGCATCCGCATTCTGGACCTTGCGCAAGAGATCCTGCTCATGCTGGGCCGCAGACTTGGGGCCCTTCAAGCCGAATTTACCGGGGTGGCTATCCCCCGTTCTCGCCCGGTCATACTGTTCAGCAAGAGAGTTGTATTTAGCCTTTGCCTTCTCCGCCATGATCTCCGCATCTTGTACACGCTTTTCCGAGCTCAGGCCGGTCTGCTTCCAGTGCTTCCGGCCGCGTTCCATAACAGCCGCCAGCTCGTTCAAGTCATCTGATATCTGTAGCAGGGAGATCGCAAACTGAAGGCCATGATCGGCCATGCGGTCGTAGATACGATGTATCTCATCACAACTGGTTGCGAGGGTGCCCTGGCGGTTTTCGAAGCGGTGGGCGGAGTCGTGCATGGCACGAGCGAGCTTCTTGAGACCTTGTGCATGTTCCTCTTCGAGGCTGGATCGTTTGCGAAGAAAACTTGAGAAGTCCTAGGAGTGGGTTGATACCAATTGGTTATCGGGCTCAAATTATACGGGAGGGGGACGATAGAGAACAAACCCTGGTGGATGCGATAGTTTGTTTCAGCCTGGTTAAAAGGATTGAAATTCCAATCTGCCCGGAGGCCATAGAATTGTTAGCTATGTTCTCCTCTGACTCAGAAATGCGTCTGTGCACTTCAACAAGGACTGAGGGTTGTTCTCCATACATCCGACTGCAGGACTCTCTCCAGCTGGGCCATCTCCTCGTGATTAACGGCAGCCATTGGTTGCGGGGCGGTCATTTTCACCGGCGGTGACGGGGGCCGGGGAGGCAGTTCGTTTTCTGTGCGCGGAGAGGTATCCGTCGGATGGACACCATCAAGAGGTGGGGGACTGGTGTCTGACATGCTTGCTAACAAATGGAAATAGGCATGCACCTCGACGTTGGTAGGGCACACCTGGTTGGGGAATGAGAGAGAATCCAGCAACGAGTTTAGCACACTTTGGGAGCTACCACGGCATATGCGTCAGTGTCCAGTAAAATATGATGGATGGAGGGGTTGGACGGTTGGCGTTTTGAGGCGGTGGTGGCGGAGGAAATCAATTGCGGGTCGGGGAAGATTTGACTCGGCCCATGGTTGGAACAACGTTGTTGGCTTTCTCGCTAATAACTAATAACTAAGCGGTTAGCGGGTGTGCGGTCAGGGGGCTTGATCTCGCATCTCTCTATTATCTCAGCGTCGGAGTCGGGGATTCAACAACAAAGTAAGGTTATTTGTGTGTGTGTGTGTATGTATTATATATATAGGAACGGAGTTTGGAACCATAGAGTGCTTCGTTCTTACAGACTTTTTTCCCTCTCAACTTAACCCAAATCCTCATGACTATCCCAACCGTATTTAGCCTCTTATTGTCTGTCATACAGAGGCACGACGCCCGCGATTTTTTCCCTTCAACCCGCCGGCTTCAAACCTCACTTCCATGTCGAATAACGCGACTATTGAGCCATTGAGCCCACAAGGAGCTGAATTCTCTCTCAGAACGGTACTAGTAGTAAATATAGGAGTTCAAAATCCGATTGCTTTTATGCAGCAGGTTACTGATTTGTCAGTCTACCCTCAGAAAGACGAAGTCTTCTGTTTACAAGTATACTTCACAAACTCTTAGGTTGTTGTTAAGTCTGCTCTAAAACTAAAGGAATATTTATAAACTCTGTAGAACTTATTATTATTTATTATTATTATTATTATTACTATTTTTTTTATTTTTATTTTTTTATTTTTATTTTTTTTTTAAATAATTTCAACTTTATTAATTTCATTTTTATTTATATATTTTAATTTATGTTATATCTACTTGTTTAGTTACTACCTTAGTTTCTAAATTAAAATATAAATTTAATACCCTCTACTCCATCTGATAAATATATGTCTTTGATTACATCCAAATATAAGAAATAAAAATCACTCTGTGGAATTGTAGATTGTAGCTGGCGGTGTCAGTGTGTTGTCGCATTGAGTGGCCCAGCCAGTCATTGTTAACTAACTGCTAACAGAACCAGTTACAGCATGTCTCCAGTTCTTCTCTGTGACCCATTTGTCCTTGAGAATAGGCTGGACTGCACGCACGCACTGCTTAAACCACTGCCTGTTCCTGTCAGCGTGATTCCCTTCTCTCCAGTGTGTTTGGGTCTTGCCAACAGCCAGGAAATCAACCAAAAGAGCACACAGCATAGTTTCCATAGTTTCCAATTATGTTTCTGGATTAGCTTCATCGGTATAATCTCCAGATCATAATGTTTTGGGATGCAAGCCGTGTACAGCCGTTCGAGCCGTCCCTTGCAGGGATCAGTTTAATTCAACTGTCTTGGGGTTGCTTTAACTAACGGACGCTTTCTTACTTGCAGCATTAACTACAAATGCCGACTGTGGAGTTCTTGGTGTAGCCCCTGATCAACATACACATGAGTTACAGAGGCTTCATGGGGAGAGTAGGCTCACAGTTCGGTCATGGGCGATATCATGCACAATACAAAATACATAAACTGTTGTTGATCTTATAATTGCACGTTAGTATGAGAGAGCCACTTCGGGGGTGGAGCTAGTTTAAACGTCACTGATCTAGGAGGGGGGGGTGTCTCGAAATGCCCCCCGCTGGGCGCCTTGGAACCGGGATGACTCTCTATCATGATGTAGGGCATGGGTGACAGCTGGACTCTGTTGGCATATGAGAAGGATTGAGGAGAGATCTTAGTTCGCATTCGCTCCTGGGCAGAGCTCTCTAGTTCCTCAGACAGCAGTTGACGTTCGAGCTTGGAGACCAAGCCTGGTAAACTACCAAGTGGACAACGGTTTCTGGCAGGGAGGCGACAAGGGAAACTAACCCAGCACAGCAAAATATGTATTTTATATTTAAATCCATAACATATATATATATATATATATATATATGTATGTATGTATATGTATATATGTAGGAAGCAATAAACAACATGAATATACACATAACAATTATAGAGAGAAAGAAAACTATTGTTTCTTATATTAAATAAAGGGTCAACTTATAGTAGAAGGAGTCTAAATGAAAATCAAGGAAGCAATAATATCAAATGCATGCAGCAATTGATCTTTTGAGATATGTAAAAAGTAAAGAAGAAGTTTCTCATTAAAGTAGAACTTGAGAGCTTTACTCAAGGAAATCATATATAAATACTGCAGCTCTATGAATTAAGATCATTATTGACAAGCTGGAAGATTATCAGGTGAGACAGGTCATTCTCATTGAGTGACTCAGACCGCACACTGATCGTGACTTGTGCACCTGCCTTCTTGATGGTTGGAAAGATCCCTGTGTCAGTGCAGGATCTGATAAGCGGCAGTTGTGGTTATGGGATTCTGCTGCCTGGTTGTGACTGAGGAGTTCTGTGTCTGTTGGTGCGGATGCCGCTGGCATGGGCTCTGCCCGAGTTCCTCTGAAAGAGTGAGCAGAGACTGTCATCCATAGTGAGATTCAGGCAGATTTCTCATGTGTCACTTTCCTCGATCTGATTCATTCTTATCCGACTGAGATAGATACACATAAATATATGTGCTAGTTAATCCTAGTTAGGGAGAAGCTAGAGGACCTCAGGACTTCATAACAGCTAAGTGTATGTATTTCTCAATCCGTGCAACAAATGCACTCAATCCGAGTGAAGAAAGGCAGCTCCCTCATTACTAACCTTGTGACTATATAGTTATGCTCGGATCACGAATCCAGGCAATATTGATTGGTGCCGTCCCATCATCTGAAATGCTGTCATGCTCCTGCATCGTCAAGGGAGCAAGAGCTCACACCATACTTCCAATTGCCCGGATCGAGAAAAGATCATAACCCTGCGTCTGTCCGAAGAGGTTGGCATGTAGAAATCGGAGCTGTGATCTTCGCGCCCGGCTCTACAGGGCGGGCCTCGAAGGGTATCTGTATTCTCCAGGCGGCCTGCGACTTCGCCTATTGGTTCTTGAGGGAGGAGAGAGGCGTGCGTGATAACGCTGAGGCTGTCTGGGAGAACAATCGAGGGTTGACAATCTTTTCAGGCTCAAAGATCTCCTCATTGGCTGTATCACCTGCTGTTTTGATGAGGAGTGGTTCCATCATATCAGTGATTAGCTGATTCCATTCAGACGGGTGTCTTTCTATGGGCAATCCTAACCACATTGTGAACCTCAAGAGTATGAGGAGGAGCTGAATTCATACGTCGGATTCCCTTCTTCACGCTTGACATTGTCGAAGTACTGAGGGCACTTTGCAAGTGGCCCACACGAACCCGAGGCATTCCAATTCCGTGGCTCAGTAGCGGTGCTCGTTGGGAGGCAACCATCCAGAAGAGAAGAGGAGGGGAAGTTATAATGGCAGTGGATGTCGATTCATCCCACCTAGGCACAAACGGAACGTTTGAACCAGCGGCATTTCGCCCCTCCTCGGGAAGGGAAGGATTGTCACTCTTTAGATGAGAGATGAGCATATCGCGCAGCTCTTACCAATGTTCTGCCAGGCAATCAGTCTCTCGGTATACAAGGAGATGGTGGAATTCTGTATTGCGCTGTGTCTCTAGAATCATGCAGGACGTGTAGGAACCAAAAAGCGCTTAATTTGGCCCTGTCACCAGACCCGAAAACAAGCCTTGATTCGTCCTTTTGGAGTCTGTATGCGTTGAAAGACGGTGGGACGACACTCTCGTGAACTTTTCACAATTTTGCCTGGTCGACGTGAAGAATACGTCCGACGACCTGCACCGTGGGAGAGTGGTTCACTTCTAAATTGAAGGAGCAAACATTCCGACGTAAGAGTTGCAGATTGAATCACGCACTAGAATTCCATAGGCACAAATGAAAACTATTTCGTTTCCTTAGGAGGCGGTTTAACCGTCTAATGTCTGATTTTCGTTGGCACGGAAGACCCTTTTCAGAATTGCTCATGCATGCCCGTTGAACATGCTGCCCTCGGAATTATTTATATTTTCCCATATTAGAGTTGTGCATCATCATCAAATCGGCCAAAAGGATCAAAATCCGAGCGGGAAGAGACGTTGTTATGGAGTCTAATCACAATTAGACATTGCCACTTGTGAACCAAGGATAGGGGCTAACGCTAACACTGACAGTTTAACTTGTTCGCTATGCAGACTCGCTTGCGAAATAGCAAGTCTCTGAGGAAATCCCGACTACGCAGGTCCGTCGGGATCGAATACGAGATGAAACTTAAGAGCATGATGTAGTTATGTGATGTATGTGATGTATGTGATGTATGTGATGTATGTGATGTATGTGATGTATGTGACATTCCTCGACCTCATCTGCGTGATCGATGACATCTCGCAGACTTAGAAACGGGCTAGTTAGTATCGACACCATTTTCGAATGGAAGAAGCTCCCGTGAACTCAACTACCTGTCGCAATTGCGGTCCGCATTTGTCGTTCCCGCATCCGACGACGCCGTTCACTATTTTTGGAACTGGACTTGTCTCATATCTACATCGTCCATCGTCTGCTTCAAACAGCACAGGCGCTGTAATTGCTGCCGCTGTCTAGCTCCTTGATCTGGATAGCCTTTCCATTGCTTACGACTTTTATAACTAGCTGCGGGACTTTGTCATTGGAGACCGGCATAATATTGTATGTATATATATATATATATATATATATATTTTCGACAAAAAGGTTTTTTTTCAGAGACATGCGTGCTTTGGAAAACCGTGTCGGCCTGTGTGAACTGCCAACAGAGTCCGCAGAGATCATAATAAAGAGGGTTCAATATCTCATGCCCGTATTTGTTGTGGGTGGGGCAATCGATATTTGGTTGTATAAAATATATATGAGGATATTGCTTGTCAGAAGGACCATACACATAGCGGAATAGCCCTGAAGAGAATCGATTGCTGAATACGAAAAGAAGAGAAATTAAACCCTGTTAAGATCTTAAGGATAATACCAGCAATGGCTATTAAACCGTGTATGACTAACCGATGAATGGAAAGAAATGGGAGTAAAATGAAGATATTCGGCATATCGCAGAGACGCAGTGGCATTGGGACGCGGCTGCGACCATCCGATCCAGCATAATATCTACCCCTAATTAAGTGACTGACTGAATGAGCCAAATACATCGGCATCCTGCATCCTGCATCCTGCATCCTGCATCCTGCATCCTGCAGCTTGCAGCTTGCATCCTCTTGGGGATGTGTTTGTCTATTCCAGCGTGTCTGCAGCGGAGATAAAAAGGTACTTGTGATTAGAAGAATGTGACAGTTTAGGTTAACCGATCCATGGTTTGCATCCAGCCCAGCCTAATAAACTCCCAAAGGTTCCAAAATACAGGGCGTAAACAAACTCCCTGTTCCTGAGTTACCATTTGACGACAAGGTGGCCAATCAATTTACCCTTTCCACGCAGAGCCGAGTTCATGCCTGCATTAACTAACTTAGTTGCATCATCACCAAGAGACAGGCTCTGGCTTTTGGTGTTCAGTTACAGAGTATATACAGCCCCGCAGTGAAAGGGCATGCAGGAGGGGACTAACTACGAGGGAGGATGGACGTACCGCGGCTATTTTGTGACGGTAGTCAACAGGAGCTTGGGGATAGCCGGAGATGGCTTTTTTTTTTTTGATAAGTAACTATTTAAAATAGAGGTGAAGACAAGGATACTCATCACTTCACACTCGACTCTAATAACCTTTGTCAGTTGGAGGGTAATTTGTTTTAAAAAAAAAGGAAAAAGAAAAGGAAAAACACAGGATAAAACGTATCAACAGTCATGGCCTCCAAAGAAATTCATCTCGTGGCCATCATCAAGCCGAAGCCGGGTAAAATCGACGAAGTGAGTTACATTTGGTACTGAATCATAAATAAATTCTGAAGAATTAAAGGGGGGGGCAAAAAAAAAGGAATAAACAAATAAAAGTGTGTACACAAGATAATAAATTAAACTACTAACACCCCCGTCCCAGGTCGCCGCCCTCTTCGCCGAAACCGCCAAAAAGGTCCAAGCCACCGAACCCGACACACTGGCCTACTATGCCATCCGACCAAAGACCGGAGACGAATTGCTCATCGTGGAGAGGCAAGGACACCCCCCGTTTGATATAGAAAACTTAGATTTACCTTTCGCTGACATATTTTGTAACAGATACAAGGATGCCAAGGCGATTCAGACACATGGCAGCACGGAGCACTTCAAGGAATTCTCCGAGGCCGTAGCCCCGCTGGTGCAGGGTCCGTCGACACTGAAGATTGGGAGAGAGGTTGGTGGGTTTAGGAGGGATGAGAAGTTGTAATTTTTCGCCTTGACAGTCGAGGCGGCCCGGAAGGGATGTATATATATATATATATATATACCTACAGTGTTTGGTGCTGCTCGTGCCGTGGTACGAAGGCTCTGCACGGGGCAGTTGATATATATATATATATATATATATATATATGGAAGGGATGGGGGCTGCTGATGTATATATGTGATGTGGAACTAACTACATATTCAGTTTTTCATTTACCCTTTTTTATTCGGGAAGTGGAGAAGGTTGGATACTTAATTTTTGTATTTGAACGGGTCGGGGCATGCGAGACAGATCTCTCTCCATGGTGGCTAGTGACCTACCCGGAAATGAAGTCGAAGCATCCGAGTGGAAAGTGATGAAACTGCAAGAGTCTCAGCCTGCCGTGAGAATTCCAAGGTTTACAAAAGCTTGCTTGATGGAGCAAATTTCTGAAACTGAAGCAGCAACTTGGGAGATCCCTTGTTGGCTTGCCTTCTTATCTAGTTATGCGGGTATGCGAGTTGGGTGTGATGCACCTCGCCATATTGAAGATTTTCTGCATGTTCCTTGACAATAAGGAAGAATTGGTTGGCAATTCTGGGGATAGGTGTAACCTGGTTGGAGAAAAAGCGCAATAGCAAGTCTTCAAGATTGTATTTTTTACTATCGTGGGTCTCTCTGTAAGGCTGTTGAAGGGGTTGCCGAGTGTGAACATATCTAGAAGGGTATTCTCTCCCCATTGCGGCTATCGATAACTACATCCATTGGCTCCAACCACAGCCTTAGTTACTGGACATGGTTTAGCAACGGCAAAAGCTAGCAGCAGAAGCAGCCGCAGGGTACTGCGGAAATACCTGTAACAATGTCAAAATGCTTCCCGGCAGGGCCTGAGTGTATGATCTCAAACTGGATGAGCGGGGGGGGGGGGGGGGGGGGGGGGGGCTCCCATCATTGATCGCCTACGTCATTCCTTGTCGCAAGGGTAGTTATTGGATATCACGAAGATAACATCTGCCAATGATAGCAAAAGTCCAACCAAATACATTAAGCTAGATATCACAGCTACGTAGCTACGTCTGGTGATCTCTGGTGAGATATTCTGGGGATCCATTTAGTGCATGCAGCCAACCAGCCAAAGGGACCGGGGAAATCGGGGGGATAGTCCACATGGGCAAAAAGAGGCGGAACGGGCTAACCAGTAAGTGTTGGAGCTGATATTCTGTAGCTCAAGTCGGGCGTAGACTTGAAATAAATAATAAGTAGGGATTGGGTGTTGAACGGGTCAAAGTCAGTCTTTAAACGGATGCTTCTGGGCCAACCAAGCCGCGAACGGACTTTTGCACAGGACATGAGGAACGCTGACTGGGGGGATTTTTATCCAGAGGGCGCTTGGGGTCCCTCACAGCCACCCTGAATAAAAAAAAAATAATAATAATAATAATAATTAAATAGATAAAAAAAAAAAAAAAAGTTCAAGGATAATTAGCACAAATTAACATTTAACTGGGGAACATGCGTTTGTTCCTGGGAGAATCCATGGGTCGGATCGAAGTCTGTATATATTTATTTGCCTTTGTGTCTAAAGGCTGTTTTTTCCTTGTAGTTATCCGG